TCATTGGTGGAACATGAAGGTGGACCCTGGGACCCAGACCTTGAGCTGTGTAAAGGGCCCCCCCAAAAAATGGAGCTGTTTCTCGTTCTCCCAGAACATTGATTTTTGTGACCACAGTTACAAACAGCCTCCAGAGATCCTGTTATACACCAGACCAGTGGAGCCAGACTGCAGCTAGAGCCCATCATCATCCTCATCTGTTTGTAAGTAGGTAATCTAGTATATTATTCGTGGCACTAATCTCTAATTTACCTCACATTAAAGAAACACTATAGTCCCCAGAACCACTGCAGCTTAATGTAGTGGTTCTGGTGTCTATAGCCTGTCCCTTCAGGCCTTTTAATGTAAACACGGCGGCACTGCAGCACTAGCGTTAGTTAACATGGCAGGTCATATGGGTGGGGCATTGTGATGTCATGGGGGGGGGCGGCAAAATTTACTTTTGCCTAGGGTGGCAAAAATCCTTGCACCGGCCCTGGCCCCATGTCTCCCACTGGCCCCTTGTCTCTCAGTGTCCCCATGTCTCCCAGCCAGTGTCCCTAGTGTCTCAGTGTCCCTGGTGTCCTACAGTGTCCTTGGTGTCTCTCAGTGTCCCCATGTCTCCCAGTGTGCCTGGTGTCTCTCAGTGTCCCTAGTGTCTGTTTCCCTAGTCTGCCAGGGTGCCCTAGACTCTCAGTGTCCCCATGTATCTTAGTGTCCCCATGTCTCTCCCAGTGTCTCAGTGTCCCCAAGTCTCACAGTGTCCCAATGTCTCGAAGTGTCCCCTAGTGTCCTAGTGACATCGGGACACAGACTCTAAGGGACACTGGGAGACATGGGAAAACAAACAGTAGGGGACACTGGGCGACTTGGGGACACTGAGATACATGGGGACACTGAGAGGGATGGAGACACTGGGGGACACAGGGAGACATGGGGACACAGTGTCCCCATGTCTCCCAACCAGTGTCCCTAGTATCTCAGTATCTCCATGTCTCCCAGTGTCCCTGGTGTCTCTCATTGTCCGTAGTGTGCCACTGTCCCTAGTGTCTCAGTGTTTCCTAGTCTCCTAAAGTCCCCTAGTCTCCCAGTGTCTCAGTATCCCAATGTCTCCCAGTGTCCCCATGTCTCCAAGTGTCTCAGTGACCCTAGTATAGAAGAAAAAATCTCAGGCACTCACTGTGATAGATTTAAGAAGATTTATTGGACACTGCAACGTTTCGACCTGTACGAAGGTCTTTATCAAGTCTCCTGTGTCCCATATGTATCACAGTGTCCCCTATGTATCACAGCATCTCAGTGCCCCATGTCTCCCAGTGTCCCTGGTGTCTCTGTGTCCCTGGTGTCTCTGTGTCCTTAGTGTCTCAGTGTCCCCTAGTCTCTCAAAGTCCCCTAGTCTCTCAGAATCTCCTAGTCTCTCAGAATCTCCTAGTCTCCCAGTGTCACCATGTCTCACAGTGTCCCCAAGTGTCTCAGTGTCCCCTAGTATAAAAGAAAAAAATCTCAGGCACTCGCTGTGATAGATTTAAGCAGGTTTATTGGACACCGCAATGTGTTGACCCGTACCCAGGTCTTTATCAAGTCTCCAGTGTCCCCTATATATCACAGTGTCCCCTATGTATCAGTGCCCTATGTCTCCCAATGTCCCCTCATGTCTCAAAGTCACCCAATGTCCCCATGTCTCCCAGTGTCCCCCAAAAGTCTCAGTGTCCCTAGGTCTCCCAGTGTTCCCTAGTATCTCTTTCGGCAGTTCTGGTTATGTGATTTGTGTCACATAACCTTTCACCCCATCCATAGACTTCCTGCTTTACTGGACACTGCTGTTAGGGGGTATGGGTTTACTTGAAAGATGAAAGCATGAGATTAGCATAGGGTATGTGTTTTCTTATAGCTGCATCCTATGAGTTTCCCTTCAGCACCATCTCCATCAGATACATGACGCTTAGGAGGAAGAACTGTTTTAGTGTTTTTGGTCAATAAGATTTTCTAATTAGGGCCATCATAATTGTCAGCACCAGGCCCACTGGGCTCTTAATTTGGCCCTGCATACTAGGGGTTATTGACTAAATAATGAGTTGTGCAGAGTGGACAAATAATTGGCTCATTGGGCATGTTACCAAATCTATAGACTTGAAATATTTTATAGCAGAATAGCAAGACGGTACCATGCATGTATTAATTTTTCATCTCAATTCAGTCTAATTTATGGCTCTATAACATGTTTTGTTTTCGATGAAAGCCTCTCTGCTTTTATTTGTGAAGCTATGTACTATATAGCTTCATTGTAACAAACACAGTACAAGGACAATAGAATTGTAACACAATTTGAAGTTAGGTAAAAATTTGTCTGGGATAATAAATCATGTCATGACTATACCTTCATCTGCTTTCCACAATACACATGTTGTTAAATTAGTATCAAACACCGCAGCTAAATTAATACATCCAGTCTAGCATAACTGATGGATCTTAAAAATGTATCAAGATGTAATATTTAAATTAACATGTTATTCAGTAAAGGTAGAACATACTCACAAAACCTGGTACAGAAGGAAAGGCAAAACTGGATGAATAGCTTGAAATCACATCACACTTTAAAAGAGAACTGTCAACATTAAATAATAAATTGCAAATCACCTATAACGTGTTACACTTTTCAATGAGATGCTTTATTTTCTTTTCAAATTATATTAAAGATTAGGCAAATTATATTTTAATCCGGTTTAGAGAAGGCAAAACCAAGGCAAACATGGCTGATGAAGAGAAGAAATAGAAACATTGTTCAATTTCTCCTCTTCTCTGTATGTTTTTCTCTTTGCTGATTGTCAGGTAGAATGGGCAGAGCTTATAACGATGATTGACAGGACGCAAAGGTGGAGGCGCCCAGTTGCAAGATAAGGAGGTGTGGATGTTTACATTAAATGTTATTTTTTATTTAAGAGCAATTTTGGATTAAAAAATAAAAAAACAAAAACAAAAACCAGTGCAAAATAATTCATATTCAAAATCCTCGTGTTTTCTTACTGGAATTATGGAAGATTTCTTAGATATTGATTGGTAACACCAGATTTTAAAATGTGAATCCTATCAGAACTGTATAATTAAGTATTTAACAGTACTTTGAATAATATATGTACGCTGTACATCATTAAACTCTCTTTGCAATCAATGACATCAAACTAAAGAACAAATAGTAATTATGTATGTGTTTTTAAGTTCCTTCATATTTCAAGAGCTGCTCTAATGTCAATATTTCATGCTACAATGCGCTATGTTCTAAGTTTCCATTTTTGTTATTAAATTCAAGATCCTGACACAGGGAAGACATGTCTTCTAAAGTCCATGTGGAATTTAAAGAATGGGGTAAATGATACCATCCCGGTCTTGCTGGAAGCTGCTGAAAAGACAAATAATCTGAAAGATTTGGTCAACGCACCATACACCAATGCTTACTATCACGGTAAGGGAATAAAATCTTCTCCAGGTGCTGAGCTAACAATATCTAGCTTGTGATAGAATTACTTAGGAGGTTTATATAGTATGTTCGTTCAGACTCTTTTTTTAGTAATAGAACAGACGCTTTTATTTACACATATGGTTCCCTAATCAAGAAAGAATACTAAGACCTCACATATCCCATAAATGGGGATTATACCACTGTACGTTATCAACACTAGAGCTAAGTCCATAGCTCTTGAAAACGTGAGTAGGACCATATACTCTTTTATTGCTTCTACCCCTTTCGGGACATACTATACCATCAGTTGTTATTTTCTCATTTCATATGATGTACAAAGACGCATCTACACCACTCTGAAGAATCCCCCACTACAAAAGACTGTATTCACCTCTACAAAGATATACCTCGTTGTTTGATTCATCTACCAGTCAGACTATTTATTCTGGACTTCTATTTGCTTATTATTTATTTTATATATTACATTCTAGTCTGCCTATTCTGTGCTCTTTTAATTTATGTGGTTTGTAGTGGCGCTGCCTTCCTTTCTTTTTTCTGTATCTTTTTTTAGTAATACCTCTTAATTCTTAAGATACATTAACTATGAAATAATCTCAAATGCACAAAAATACCACAGTGGAAAAATATCTTCTGGTTACCAACTCACCACAACGTATTATTTAGTGCCAGGAAACTGAACAGTGCATAGCAATGAGTTGAACACATATAATTTGGAAGAACAGTGTTTTTGATGAGGCAATTTGTTTTCCAAAGTACTGGCAAACCAATGCTGGAAGACCAGGGCCTTATTGACATGAGATCAGTGGTGTATCCTCGTTTTGTGCTGCCCTAGGCATATTCCGGCTCCCGGCATCACTCTGCGGCCCGCGAGGGAGCTGAGCAGAGAGCTCACTAATCAATGCTCCTTGCCAGCGCCGCCCGACTGGATTTTTACTTAGCCGCCTGCCTGCCTGGACTGTTAGCCGCCAGGCTAACAAGACATTTGCCTGGGCATTTGGGGGTGGTGTTTTTTGCCGCCCACTGGAAAGTGCTGCCCAAGGCAAATGCCTTGTTTGCCTCGTGGCTAATACGTCCCTGATCACAGGTACCCCTAAGTAGAAAGAATACAGGTTTGCTTGCCCCCCACAAAGTAACAAACTAAGATGTTAAAATATTTTGTGAGCAGTGTGAGGAAGAAAAGTGTGATATGAGACAGGGTCCAAAGTGGAAGAAGTTCAAGAGATATTTGTAGAACGTATCAGAATTGAAAGAGAGTTTACGGGATAGTGGGCACAGCTTATGCTAAATCCCAAACCCTGCCCTTTGTCTCTAGTGGTGCTCTCTTCTTATGGTACATTTTAGAACTGTGGAAGACAGTGAATTGTGATCCCTTCATGACAAGATGTTGAGCAAATCCCATTATATAAGAGCATGAAGGGGTTACAATATTCTGTGTATATCTAATATCCTACTATCAGTGGCCTATGAGCAGTTCAAGCTGTCTATTAGTATTGAATAATGCATGTGCGTGACATATCTATGATGAAGTGATAGCCAGGTATGAGGGAATTATTTAGACAGATAAGTGGGAAGGGAAGTAAATTTTTGGAAAACCTTAAGGAATAGTAAATTTCTGGAGGAGAGAAATGGACATGAAAGCTTATTGATAGAATGATAAAAAGAAGAAAAAATATGGTCAGTGGTTTAGGTGGTACGTACTAGGATAATGAGTTAAAAATAATCGCAAATGCAGTTTCAAAGTATATATTAAATAAGAGCTATTGTTTATTATTTACCTATAGTGTATGATAAAATGAATAGCAACCACAATTATTTTTGTCACTGACTTCATCTTTTTGGCAAAAAAAATCCCCTGACGTTGATGTGGGAAAAAAATAACACAATGATCTAAACTTAGTGTATGAATAAAACATAACTTGTGTTTTTCACTCCTGTCTCAACCTCGCTATTCACACATTTTCATTTTGAGCAAGTAGTACATTTACAGATTGGGAATGCATGTTAATCAAAGCAAATGCTGACTTTTACCATGAGTTTCACATACCTTAGCATTTAACTCATACTGAATTCACTGTTGGTAATTACAGCAAAGACATGTTCTATTTGTAAATGCAAATGATGTTCCCTTGCAAAGCATATGCAATTCACAGTGAATTGAGTGAAGGAATATTAACCCCTTGTATCTTTTCTCCAGAAAGTTACAGAAGATACAAAAGAAAAGAAAACAGTGTGTACTATGTAGTATGATTGCCCATGTAACAGATATACTCCAAAATGTCATAAACCCCCAAACAACTATCCCGAACCTTAATACACACCGTTCGCCCCAGATTGCCAAATCCCCCCATCCTAATGTCACTTTGCCCCATATGTGCTGTATTGTTTTGCATATATTGCTGTATATGTAGTTACAATGCCCCATGTATTGCCCATAGATATTGTCTTATCTGTACTCCCATTGTTTCCAGTTTAGTTTGTGTCACATATAATTATGTCCCACATTTGGTCACATTACCATGACATTGTACATGCAATACTTAAGATTTCTTACACGTGACAATTTGGTCACACTCACTAACTTACTATCACACCACAGACACACTCCCACACCTCTTCCAAATGTATGAAGCTGAGCACCGAGGCTATATCAAAGCACTAGTCTGTCTTTTCGCATTGCATTGTACTGGAGATACTACTTACACAAGCAGTGTCCCAAGCAGGATTATCAGCATCTCTTTGAACACAAAGCACAGGCAGATCATCTCTTTAACCCCTTCAGAACACAACTTCTGGAATAAAAGGGATTCATGACGGAATATTTCCGTCATGTGTCCTTGAGTGGTTAAACACAGACAGATCTTCTCTCTGCATTACATACTCTTACTTACCGTAAAGTGCTGTACACTGGACTTGGAATGATGTTTGCAGCACTGTGCTCATGGTGTCACTGTGTTGCAAGCTGCCTAGACATAGTAAGGGCATATTACACAAACAACATTTGTTTTCAGAGATCAAAGTTAATTTGTCAATTTTCCTTTTATACGTTTTCACGATTCTGGGCTGTAGAAGCATACCCTTTAATGGGTAGATATATGTATGAATTTATAAAAATTTTTGTTAAGGTGCTGCAAAATATCTTATTTCAAGAAAAAGTCTGTGTTTATTTAATGAAAACTATGATCAAGTTTCCTTTCCTTGCTGTTATTGTAGTTCCAAACTGTGTTAAACAGTTAACTATAGATTGTATGAAAAGTGTTTGGATCTGACAGGCATCAACAAAATCTTAAATTTGTCTTCCATATAACAGTTAAAGATGGAACCACTGTTGTTAAGCATGTTGCCTGTATAAAATAAGCATATTTTTGTAAAAATTGGAGTGAACACACACAATGGTAGTGTCATGACATATACCCACCTCTTATTTAGTATAGCGGTTTTCAATTTTTATTTTGGGCTAGAGCCCCAGGTGTTTCTGGAATTTAGAAGTTTTGATTGGGATGTATTGACTAAAAAGTGAATTTCATAGAATTATTAACCCAAATTAAGGGGGCGGGGCCAGACCGCCAAGCTGGATGGTCACATGGAAGCTCAGCTCCTGCAAATTACCGACTAATAAGCCTTAAAACAATGATTTGCAACCTTAATACCAACCACCAGCGCCGGTCCTCAGTGCATAAGGGACACTGTATCCAGGGTGAGGCTGGCTCCTCGAGCTACAGTCCCCAGGAGGAGAGATCCTCGATGCCCCAATTGGGGCCTACTCCGGCGGTGAGTGGGGCGGACGGCCGCTGCTCCACTATCCTGCCTAACATAGCCCAGCCAGAGGCCAGAAGCCTTGCAGACCTGGCCCTGTTCCCCTCACTCTGGACCGGTGGATGTGATCCCAGTCCGAAACCTGTGACCCAGGCCGAGACGGCGCAACCTAAGCACAGCAACATCGCCACTCAGACACGCGGCCCGAGCGCCTCAACTGCGGCTGCCAGAAGTGCCGATGCCAGAGGGATGACATGCTTTCTCCCCAAGCCCACAGTGAGCAATAAGGCCTCCAGAAACAGGCTGGCTCAACACCTACCATGGCAAGCTACAGGCACACACCATAACACCCAAGAAAGGCGCCTACACCAGGAGAGGCTATGCTGGACCATAGCTCCAGAACAGGGGCAAGCCCGAGGCAAACAAACGGATCGGAGACACAGCAGGCCAAATAGCGCAAAACGGCACAGGATACCGAAACTCGACAAGCACCAACTTACCCTCTAGATATGTCGGGGAGCAGGTCTTCCAAGCAAGGTGCCACATTCCACTACAGGACTGCCGTACAACAACTCACAGCCATCCCTGACAAGACCGCGACGCAAACTGACTGCCGGCCTACACCTGGACCGCAATATACTCACAGAGGGCATCGACAACGCAGAGACTCGAGAGGTCTATACACAACAATATTAATCTGTCCTCTTACCGGCATTGCGTCTCAAAGCAACAGTCTCTCCACCAAAGCTGTTATGCAGAATGGGCTGACAGCCTCCACAGGGCTCCACATAGATGGACACGCTAAAGCTCCACCATTCCCTGTCTGATCCGGCACCTCTACCTATACCGAAGCAACCAACGGAACATGACCATAACTATGCATAACAGTGGCAAAGCATAAAAATATTGTCTAGCATATGCGTGACTGCCAACATATAAGAGGTGTTTAGCATTTAAACCAGTTTAACAGGCTAACTGTCAGGAATATGGGGATCTGCATTTAATAATCTACTAATGATATATTTTCACCCTGGGCAGTAAAGTGCTTGGCTAGTTTGTCTGGGTCCGGGGCTACACTTTTCACTAAATGTTTAACTACTGAAATACTACACATAACAAAACACAATATTGAGGCATAGGCTCTTTCCTATACTTAATTAGTTAATTACTGTTTGCTAGCCTAGTACAACTAACGTTGTCAGAATCTCAATTTATAAAATGTGCACGTATTATTCATTACCCTATTGTAACACATGATATAAACCCGGAGGAATGCCGTTGGGGTACCTCAGGCATGTCTGTACTAACCTTTGCACGTCAAAAAAAAAAAAAAAAAAGTTTGTTATTTTGGGCTAGATCATGCATTCTTTATGTGAATTTATCACAATTCACTGTTAAGTGAATTATTCCCTTCCTATGCCATGGCCCTAACTTCATGTCTTGTCAGTCCCTCTCAAACAAATTGCACTCTTGTTAGCTATGTGAAATTTTAAGGTATACTTTAGTTACAATACTATCTTGATTTCGATAAACATTATGTCATTGATACAATAAAGATGTCTCTATCAGAGTCTTTAGAGCTCCCTGAGTGCTGTGTTATGAACAAGCCCGGATGTTCCATGGGAAATAGAACTAGTTACTAGCAGTAATTAAGGGGGCCATTAGACAAGTCTGCTGAAACATCAGAGGCAAAAAGGCAAGGGATGGAGTTTGTTGAATCCAGTATTCCGTTTGCCTAAGATTATGAATGCATTCAGCCTAATGTCTAATAGATTTTTTTTCTAATATGTCTCTAAGCTGTGCCTAGGGAGATATCCTGGGAAAAGCCAACGCTGTCATTAAAGTAAATATTAATTATTTAGAAAAGCAAGTGGGCAAATAATGTTATTGTTTTTGGGTGATACAGACTTGGCTTTTGGTGCATTGTCTGATGGATGAGTATATAAACAGCATCTGCTGTTCACAAAAGAAAAACACAATTTTAAAGCAGAACAATGTCAGAATTGCTTAGAGGACTATTCCCTAAACAGTGAATTAAAGTGATATATTGTATAAGTAAAAAAAAAAAAAAAAAATGAAAGAAAATTCTCCTACTCAACTATTTCCTAGATTTTTTGGAACATGAAGTCATTACCCAAATTTTCTTTTTTTTAGTTGCTGCCATCTTCAAGTTTTTCTAATATTTATATTTATGTGGTTTACTGCAGGACAGAGCGCTCTTCATATAGCCATAGAAAAAAGAAATTTCCAGTTAGTTGAACTTCTACTGAAAAACCAAGCTGATGTTCATGCCAAAGCAGATGGAGAGTTTTTCCAGAAGAAAAAGAAGGGTGTTAGCTTTTATTTTGGTGAGTATCTTAATGAAAAGAAATATTTTGCCATACTTGAAACTGAACCTATTAATGCGGGGGAGGGAAGTGCTTATGGTGCTGACATGATAATTGTTATCCTTGTTTTTTTTTAACATATATGTGACTGAAAAATTCACTTAATCTTGTATAATGTGACATTATTCATGTCACATGGCACCCATTCTACCACTGTATTAAAGGGACACTGTAGGCACTATAATCATGTCCTCTCTTTGAATTGATTATAGTGCCTGGCGTCGCCTGGTACTGTCTCTCCATTCAGAGTTAAACCATGTTCTAGCAGTTTAACACTAACTAAGGGTCCCTGGCACCCACAGTCTGGCCCCTTCTGGAGGTGTGGCTCAGGCAGAGATTACACATTCCTTGTAGTTATATCCATTCATACTGTTAATGGGAGGTTTGATAGGATAAAAGCAGTCAGCTGACTGACACTCTCAGCCTATCACAGCTGCCAACTGCTGCTCAGGCTAATACCTCTTTATTTGCCTAAGCAGCACAGAAGGGATGGGATTCAGGGGACTCTCGTTTAGTATTAGAACATAAAAACATTAAAAACTGTTTAATGCTGAATGAAATGATGGCAACAGGGGACTCCAGACACTATAACCAGATTAATTATATTAAGCAGATACAGTGCCTATAGTGTCCTTTTATTAACTTGCTGGTTTCAGCTATTTCCCTCTAGTGGCGCAAAACTAGTGCAGATGTAAGTTATTATTATTGATGTTATAGCTACTTTCAAATTCTTTTTGAAAAAAAAGGGTAACATTCAATTGAAACACAAATAGCTGGCATGTAAACTTAGAAGAACATTATAATTTTGTATATAGAACAATACTTATACAAGGAATACCTATATGTTTAAATTATGTACGTATAGACAAATTAAATTTTTGAATATGATTGGTTAAATGATATGCGTTAGCATGCAATGCATAAGAAAATGGAGATGTAAGCATATATGGACAAATAAATTTTGTCAAATACAGGAGGTGTGACAGCAATAATATGTATAAATGAAAAGGGTTTCAGAAAATCCTTACAGTATGATGACATAGGCCGTGATATGGTCATTAAAGATTTAAACTAGAACCCAGTATGCAGAGAATAAAAAAACAACGCAATGGGGTAAAATTAAACAAATGTATTAAGATTTCTAGAACAATGTTAATAACACAAACGATTAGCAAATTATCAGAAGAATATAATGATGCAGACAAACCACAGGATACAAGGGAGAAAAGCTCTGAAATCAGGTAGAAGGCCTTCATAAGACAGGATACAGGGCAGGCCGCTGGAGTCAGGTGTCAGGCTTTCACTAGACAGGATACAGGGCAGGCCAGTGGAGTCAGATAATAGTCCTTCACGAGAAAGGATAAAAGGCAGATCTCTGGAGTCAGGTAGCAGGCCTTCATGAGATAGGATACATGGCAGGCCACTTGCAAAATATATTGCAAAGTATTTCAACCTCTAAGTGTGCAGTTACAGTAACCTCATTGTTGTAAACTTGCTTAATCCTTACTTTTGACTCTCACGAAAAATCTAAACACTGATATCACTAATGGTAACTGCAGCATGGAAAACGTCTGTGTTTCTTTCTAAAGGAGAAGTAAAGCAGATGGGGTGCATGTCAATGTCTATTTTTAATGGCTGTAATCAAGCATTCGAAAAGAGTTCCATATCTGATGCTTTTCACAGTGATACACACATGCATATCTCACCGATCTATACCTTTATTGCAGCCCAATGACATGTATTGCTGTGGGTTTTATTTCTGTAGTCCATGATAATAACCTCAAACACATAATGCAAATGAAATGCAAACCTGAATTACTTGGTTTCTCTTTCGTGCTGTGATGACATTTCTCAAACATTTTTCTAAAATCTATAATACTCTGAGATTTTTCTTAGGCCATAGTATATGCCAAAACGTATTGGAAACATTCTCCAAGTTAACTATGTTTTCTGTTTGGTGACTTTGTGTCTTATAACTTCCAATTCATCAGTTAAAAAAATGTTTTATAAGACATATTCACAAGTCTGCCAAGGCACTCTGGAAGTAACCAGCAACTCCTACCATTCACCAATAGCTTTTAAAAGTAGAACAAATATCCTACTTTCCTGCTTCGCAGAAATGTGTTTCGGGGAATCAACCTTGGCGAGTGACAGTTATATATCCACGGTGCCTTATCATGTTCAGCCACAAACTTACTGGCATGGCCCAGGCTCTGCCATAAGGCTCGGCTCTCTACGCCCTCACAATGGTATAATCTTACTTTGCTACTTCTTAATTTTGTCAACAAATGCATTTACTTGCTATATTTATGTTTCTACCTTAATTTCGAGCTGTCCTCGACTGCACTTATGTTGTTAATTATTGAACCCTAAGTACTACTCTGAACGAACGCCCTATTTCTATATCCTTACAAACTTCTCAGTTTTGTAACATTTATGCATTTGTGATGTCCTTCCATACCTTCTATACTGTAAAGTCTAAAAAGAAAGGATGTCAAATAAATTAATAAATAAATAGATAAAATCAAGTAGTACAAATATATATTATGGAGTAACTTATGGCCATTGTTTATGAGAGATATATGGAGTTTGCTCAGATTTTGCAATCATGGCTGCTATACATGTCCAATCAAGTTGCATAGATAAAGGGAATGTCATCTTAGTTTTTAAAGAATTCAAGAAAAGCACACTCTTAGTCCTTTAACTATCTTGGGGTTTCCCTTACTGACTCATATTTTACTTTTTACTTTACATATTCACCCCCCCCCCCCAACACACTTTTTTTTTGTCCTCTTTGCTCTCTCTGTTTCCCCTAGAAACCTTACCACTTTAAGTGGTACCACCACTGCCTCCGTAGCAAACATGTCGGCTTAATTCATTGCCATTCAGTTTTAAGATCCAACATTCCTTATAAGTTTCACACATGGTAACAACCCTGTATATACATGAGCAACACTAGTGCTGCCCATAACTTTAGTCATAGCCTTCCTACTGTAAAGTATTGAAATAACTGCGTCATTTTATGGAGAGCAGGGCCTTCTTCAACATTTATTTCTGTAAGTTTCTGTATGTCAATTATTTGTTGTCAAAACCACCAAAGGGAATTTACTCTTTAGGAAACTGTAGAATCTACAATTCCACTCTGTTTAGTAGTTGCAGTTGCAGAATTAATCCAGGAATATAGTCCCACTCAGTGTTTTATATTTACAATTTTTTTTTTTTTTTTTAACCAAAGCAGCGGTAGTGCTAGAGATTGCATGTTATCTTGAATTTCAGCTGCTGTGGAATGCAGCACTCATACATAACTGTATATACAGATGCACACAACCAGCAGTGAAAGGGGAACACCATAATTAAAGGACCACTATAGTGCCAGGAAAACAAACTAGTTTTCCTGGCACTATAGTGTTAATAGGTCCTCCCCCACCCTCATGGCCCCCCTCCCGCCGAGCTGAAGTGGGAGGAAGGGGTTAATCCCTTACCTTTCTTCAGCCCCGGGCTCCCTCGGCGCTGGGGACTCTCCTCCTCCTTCCGACCTCATCAGTTGAATGTGCATGCGTGGCATAAGCCGGGCGCGCATTCAGTCAGTCCATAGGAAAGCGCGGAAGCCCCTCTACCGTCTGTCAATGAGACAGCCACTAAAGGCTGGATTAACCCATATGTAAACATAGCAGTTTCTCTGAAACTGCTATGTTTACAGAAGGCAGGGTTAACCCTAGGTGTACCTGGCACGCAGACCATTTCATTAAGCTGAAGTGGCCTGGGTGCCTATAGTGGTCCTTTAACATTGCATTACACTAGTGGTTATGTTTGTGTTGGATTGCACACTGTGAATCACTGGATTTGGAAACATGATTTGCCTACCATAATAATTTGCTATAATTTAAATGAAACACACACTATTGGAATGCATGCCATGTTAACAATAACAGCATAAAGCTACAATAGTCCTTATAATGTTACTTTACCTACTCTTTTCTACAGGAGAGCTCCCTCTGTCTCTAGCAGCGTGTACGAATCAGCCCGATATTGTAAATTTCCTTCTAAATAACCCATACCGGAAAGCTGACCTCGCTGCCAGAGATAGCCATGGAAACACTGTATTACATGCTCTGGTTTTGGTGGCAGATAACACAGAAGAGAATACAGAAACAGTAACTAAAATGTATGATGATATTTTGAAGAAATCAGTGAAAATTAATCCACAACTCGGACTGGAAGAACTTGCCAACTGGGAGGGACTAACTCCTTTAAAACTGGCAGCAAAAACTGGCAAAATTGAGGTAGGTCCATGGAAATATCCTGTGTGCCAAATGGGGAGCACGTGAAAAGTCAAGTTAAAAATGTGGCTATTAAATCTAGCAAAATTATATTGCTGTGTTTATAAGATCAAAGCCTTAATTTCCTAACCTAGATTTGGAACTTTTTTCTAACGTTATTGAATCATTTGGAAAGCTTATTAAAATAAGTGTAATTTAAACTCATGCTATAGATTACGAGGCATAGATTAGGTGGTCTTTGGGGCTAGGTGGAGACTTAGAGATAAAGGTCAAGTTCTGGCTAGGAGGTTACAGTCCATCATACCTTGAAGACTGGTAACAATTAACTATAAGTTACTCTTAACTCAAATTTTAGTATACCTCTAACTCTTAACCTATCCCTAAATTACCCAAAACCTAACTGTCTACCTGCAAGTCCACCTTATGCTATGTCACGCCTAAAACGCTTCCTCATCAGAAACCAACCCCAATAACAAAACCTGCTTTAAAGATGTCTTTTTAAAGATGCTGCTGCTGCAAACTTATACATCATCATTATTATGTCTTGCTGTTTATTTTATCTAATTTTATTTTATATTGTTTATATTAAATATGTAAAAGAAGACCATTTAAAATCCCTTCCCATTGTGTCTTATACCCCACCTCCTATAGACTGTAAGCTCGTTTGAGCAGGGTCCTTTCTAACCTATTGTTCCTGTAAGTATTCTTGTAATTGTCCTATTTATAGTTTAATCCCCCCTCTAATAATATTGTAAAGCGCTATGGAATCTGTTGGTGCTATATAGATGGCAATAATAATTATAATGATAATAACCGCCATTAAAATAGTAAGTAAATGTAAAACAGAAAAGCGCATCCCTACTTTTATTATGTGACAGGATTCTCCAGCCATATACATGCAGCTCTGGTCAGACAGTTGTTGAAAACCAACAATTAGTTCTAGTCTCACTCCTTGTACAGAAGCAGGAAAGACAATAGAGACTAACTTTCCAATTTTGGATACTGTCGGACCAAAGGTTCATGTAGGAATGGGTTTTCTAGTGTTTTACATATGCGTAATTTAGAAAACAAAAAATCTATTTTCTATCGACACATGATGGAAGGATTGTTATATTAAAACATATTTTTGGGGTGAGAGATGTCCTTTAAAGGTATACTGGAGAATGTACCAAATCAACAGGAAATGTCATATATATGATTCACAACACTGCATTGCCATCTGCAGGACAGATCCAATATTACACATGTTAAAAACAGATGGACTTTATTGATGGATAGTCAAGAGATATGGTACGAATTCATATAAGAGAGGAATATCTTAGTACTCCCTATAATTTAAGTTTTTTTTAAGCTGAATGTCTGTCTGCATGATGTGATGTAGATAAATAATTTTGTTTGGAAGTTGCATGTACACTCCTTCCTCCATTACTGCTACAAAATGGGAGTCTAACTAATGCAGGGGTCCCCAGAATTCTCTTTTAACCATTAGCCCTGTACAGTGATCCTCCTGATATCTATGTCCAATGGGGTGATATGCATACTAAAACAATGTAACAGGTACTTTATGCTTTAGATTAGATCCTTTTAAAACTGCATGAATCTCCATCACGCCCTTTTAGTCAGATTTTTTTTTTTTTTTTGCAGATAAATGTATGGCTACAAAGTGAGCTGGAACATTTTGGGCCTCTGAATTGCCTTTAGTAAATACTGAAACACTGATTTTTGTCAATTTCTGTGATTGTCACTGGATATTTAAAATCAGAGGCACATTCAAATATTTTTTTTATGTTTTTTCCTATTTTAATGGAATATAGCTTATTTTATGTACGTTGATGAGTGAATTGATTGTTGCCGATTCAACAAAGTAATAAAATATTTGCAGTGGACAAATTGCATTTTTTTTAGGAATTCACATAGTTAAGCTTAGAATACTTTAGACACTGTAACTATTTAAATATTAAATATAATTTTTACACTTGTTTGATATGTCTCGTGTATTTCAGTTGTTCAGACACATACTTCGGAGAGAGATAACAGAGCCAGAGTATAAACATCTTTCTCGAAAGTTCACAGAGTGGACCTATGGACCAGTGCACACATCACTATATGATCTGTCATCTGTGGACACGCATGAAAGGGACTCTGTTTTGGAAACAATTGTGTTTAAAAGTAATGCCAATGTGAGTATCAAATATCTGTATACTTCAGCAGATTTGTAATGTTTAGCATGTCTTGACATTAAGCTATGCTCATATTGTAACATAAAATTTTTATTTTTTTATTATTAGAAGAGAAGTGCGGTACAAGGCACAAAATACATATATGCAACTTTTGGCATTACATTAAAAAAGTAAATTTGTTAGATGGTATACCATATACATAAATGCTAAATCTATCATAGCTTTAAGTGTGGTCCCAAAGAACTAGAAGAAGAATTCTCATTAAGACCCCTTTACTGTCCTTTTTTATTTCTTTAATGCAGTATATAATCCACCACCGAGAACAATAGTAAGGCGGAGAAGAAAAGCCAAATAGTTTCAGGAAAGAAATAAAAAATGTATATCAACCAACAGGGTCTTTTGACTAAGTTTGGAAACATATTAACATCAATTGGGGATAATTAAAGAGGAGTCTTCCTCTCCCATGTAGTGTGGATCGTTGCTTGTTGTCATCACATTCTTCCAGAACTACAATTGATTACACTGTACAAGAGTGACATGAGCTGGTAAAGTTGCCTCTGCTAATGGATTGTTCAGAGACAACATGCTAGACACCAGAAATGTTGGAAACCGGAGAATGGCTGTAAAACTGTCCATTTTATTTCTATAAGTAATAACATGAAAGGTCAGCTGGGTGAGGTCATATATCAGATGTATCCCATATACATACATGTATCCCATATACTTGGAAGCTAATATCACTTTGCAGTTTGCATTCGTGATAACAAACGCAGTCCACTAGAAGTTCATGTTATTGTGCAGACTACAGCGACTGATTGGGTGGTCTGTAGTTACTTTTGAGAGTTCAGTTGTAAAAAGTGTAGTTGTATGAATCTAAAAAATACATTGCAATGGTTTTGCTTTCACACAAAACATTTCCCAAATCAATTAATTCATATTGTTTTAATATAATACTTACAAATTTCTAATCATTTCTCAATAAATATATATATATATATAATCCTTGTATTTTGTTTCATATTTCTCTGCAGAACCGGCATAACATGATCGTAATTGAACCAATCAACCAGTTGCTGCAAGACAAATGGGATGCGTTTGCTGGCAAAATATTTTATTTGAAGTTCCTCTTGTATATTGCTTATATGATTATATTTACAGTGACAGCTTACAACAGACCCCTGGTTGGACAGGTGAGAGTGAGTGCCAATCACTATCAGATCTCCCTTCATTCCTGCATTAGTCAGAGTGCCGAATGTGAAGCACTTTATCAGAAGGGAACACAACAGGTGCTTGACTGGTCAGAGAGACATTTTTATCTTTCCACCAGCTTGAGGTGCAGCAGATTGGAAATTGTGGCCGACACTCCAGATGAATGTCTAATTCACCCTAACTGTGCACTATATCTGCAACAATTGATGGATAGATTTAATTGAATACGTATATTGTGATTATTAGATTAAAAGAGAAAAATATACAATCTATACAGTTTTCAAGCAAAGATTAATTTATTAAATAACTGGGACTTGCAGAAAAAAAACTATTCTTTTTATACACTGAGAGTACATAATAATTATGTACTCTCCTCTTCTTTGATCTGTCCCAAAAATGATTTAAAAATCCAGACTATGCTATTTTTAGTGCAAACATGTATGCATGGGTTTTTAAATCTGTATTTAGGCTTCAATTTAATATTAGCCTTTAAAGTGAATTACTGTTGGATAAGCTTTACAGATGATTTAATATTGTATGGATACACTTTTAAAATGCTTTTTTTAGATTTGTGCTCGGGGCAACATCGAATATGATTAATGCAAGACTGTGTAATAGCGTAACCTGTAATAGGAAAAAGTCGGTTGTGGTGTGCCAAAACCGACGTATGCAGTAGGCCAGTAAATAAAGTGGGCCCACCCTCGTAGAATGTAATGAATAAAGGGAGTGGATGGGGGGGCATACATATTGCCAGACCAATAACGGTAGGGTAGGAAAGGGGGGAGTCCCTTATATAGGTCCATAAACTACTCCCACAAATCCAGGCACAGCCTTTACATTTGTGTTCGGGGCAACATCGAATATGACTAATGCAAGACTGTGTGATAGCGTAACCTGTAATAGGAAAAAGTTGGTTGAGGTGTGCTGAAACCGAGGTATGCGATAGGCCAGTAAATAAAGTGGGCAAAAAGGGAGAAGTACCATGCCGTTGTACATTTATTGAAAAATTAACATAATATAAAGTAAATACAAATATGATGACATTTTAACAAAAGCTTTCCGCATTTCCTTTCCTTTTTTTCTGGGGAACAGTGCATCATAACCACTACTACACTCTGTAGTTGTTCTGATGCTTGGAATAACCCTTTAAGAATGATGACCTTTGCCATCTCTAAGGATAAGCAGGACCAGGTTCTTAGTCACTTATAAAATATCATTAGGATCATTAAGATAAAGATATGTAATAAACCTAACGATTATATTTACATTGTTCTTAAATGTATTTAATCCTTTCCATGCAGCCCCCATTCCCTTTGGAAGGAACCGTAAAAGATTCTTTTCGTGTGTTTGGAGAAGTTATCATCATGTTTGGTGGTGTGTACGTACTAATATGCCAGGTACATGATTATATGATGCTACTTTGTCACATTAATGCACAGCAGTGTTTATATTAAAAAGTGTTATTTCACACCTGAGTTCTACTGTGAGTGAAAAATACACTCAATATTTATTTGAAAATGTCCTGGATATAGTGCTAGCATGTAAGATTAGAGCAAAATCATTTTTGTGCATGAACTGAAGTTGAAAGATATTTTTTTTTTTTTAAATGTAAATGCACAAAACTTCAGATTTTCATTTATTTGTTCATGATGTGCAGGAAATTGGAGAGTGGGGCATGCATTTGTATTTGACATGATAATGCCCATTTAATCAACCATTTTAAACATGTGTTTTAAGTATGTCACATACAGTTTTTGAGAAATGTCATATGCAACCTTAAGTAATTGCAGCTATCATTTTATCACTTGATTAATTCAGAAAATTTCTTCATACTTTGCGAAATTTTCTTTTCCTTGATATATCCATGACAGCATCACTATAGGGTTAGCTCCTCCCCCTTGGCTGTTTAGGACAGGAAATACTTTACAAATGGACCCTCCTTACTTGGTATTGTCAGTCTTATAACACGTTTGAAGGATCTAAAAATGGGAAGGGAAAGATTTTGATGTTGCCATATATATATCCAGGAAAAGAAAATTACGGTAAGTATGAAGACATTTTCTGAATTCCTGGCTAATCCATGGCAGCATCACGATGTGGTAATACCCACACTCAACTTAGGGGAATGAAATCAAAACCAAAGACAAAAGTATAATGCTCTAGAAAAGATTCTTTATTATCCAGAATCAAAGAGGTTCATGAAACCGAGGAAAGGATATTCCTTCCAAACTCTGTAGCTTTCCGAGATCTTACATCCAAGGCATAATGCTTTATAAAAGTGTTAGTCAAGGCCCATGTAGCTGCTCTGCAAGTGCTCTCAATAGGTGTGTTGCATGCAGCTGCCCATGATGTAGATAGAGATCTCGTAGAATGAGCCCTTAAACCTGAAGGGACCTGTGCTTCCTGGGCCTGATATGCGGAAGAGATGGCCGCAATTATCCAACGGCTTTAAGTAGGTTTGGATGCAGCAAAGCCTCTACGATGCCCAGCAAAGTTCAGGAAGAGCCTAGATGATTTTCTCCAACTAGCCGTCTTATCCACATAGATAGAAAGACACCTGGAGACATCTAAGGTATGCCATCCCTCTTACTCTGGATTCGATGGACACTGAAAAAAGGATGGAAGAACTATTACCTCATTAAAAATCAAACTCAGACATCACTTCAGGATGGAATTCCGGAATTGTCCGTAGGACTACTCGATCAGGGTAGATTACCATACAGGATTCTTCTGCAGATAAGGCCTGAATTTCAGAAATCCTCCTGCCTGACGTAATTGCAAGAAGAAGGAGAACTTTAAAAGTAATCAGACGATCCGTGGAATCCGTTAGAGGTTCAAAAGGAGGAAGAGACAACGCCTTTAAAACTAAAGGAAGGTCCCAGGGCCGAGACAGGGACCTAATAGAAGGCTTTACTTTCTTAACTGCTGTTAGAAAATGGCCTACCATGTTATCCAAAGCCCACCTGGAACCAATAAGAGCAGATAAGGCTGAAACTTGCACACATAGGGAACTTAGGCTTAGCCCTTTATCCAGACCAGTCTGCAGAAAATCCAAGATGTTGGAGACCTTAGGAGAAAGCCAAGAGGCCTTGTTATCTTTAGCCCAGTAAGCAAAACCCATCCATATGTAATAATAAGTAGAGCAAGTTGACCTTCTCCTGGATGGCAAAAGGGTACTGATCACTGCTTGAGAAAAACCCCTGTTAGCTAGACTCTCCTTTCAATTTCCATGCCATCAAATGGAGTGTCTTTGGAGACGGTGAACCGCTGGTCCCTAAATTAGAAGGTCCGGAATGTCCAGTAACTTCCATGGCTGGACAATTGAAAGGAACTTGAAGAGAGGGAACCACAGCCTGCGAGGCCAAAACGGAATTATCGCCAACACCTGGAGACCCTCCATCTAGATCCTCTTCAAGGTCTTTCATATGAGAAGAAATGGGGGAAAGACATAGGCCAGCTTGAATGGCCAATTGTTGGACAGGGCGTCTGTGGCCAATGCATTGGAATAAAATGTTCTGGAGAAGAATGTCGGAAGTTGGGAGTTTGATGCTGGTGCCATGAGATCCACCTCCGGAGTTCCCCAACGCAAAACTAGTTGTTGTAAGATCTTGGGATTCAACTGCCATTCTTTGGGATCTAGATAATGCCTGCTGAGGAAGTCTGCTCTCGAATTTTCTGTTCCTGGAATGTAAATTGCATACAGTCCCAACACTATCTTCTGAGCCCACAACATAATGGGTTCTAGTTCCTGAAGAAGATCCTTGCTTCTGGTACCACCATGCCTGTTTATGTAAGATACCGCTGTTCGATTGTCTATGCAAATCTTCACCCATTTCCCCATTAAGATGTCTTGAAAGTGAATCAGACCCAAGAAAACTGCTCATAGCTCTAGAAGGTTGGCTGGAATGTGAGAGGCTTTTTTTTCCCCATTTGCTTTGGGCATTCCATTGCAGAAGATGAGCACCCTAACCTAGACCACTGGTGTCTGTCATTAAGGTTATTCATACTGCTTCCCCCTGAGGAAAACCTTTGCGGAGATTTGCAGGGTCCTGCCACCAGTTCAAGATTGTCCAAAGCTTGTCTGTAATGAGAATCGTTTTGGACCACTTGTCCCTGTTCTGGTTAAATCTTCTAAAAAAAATATATATGGGGATAGCGAAGATGCCACTGAGCCCACTTTACCAGGCCAATGGTCGAGGAAAAATTGCCCAGCATGCTCATCAATACTTCTGTTGAAACCCATTTCGAGTCGATTACCTTCTGGACCCGTGTTATGATACAATCTCTTCTTTCTTTTGAAAGAAAAAAACATCACTAATCTTGTGTCGAACCATACTCCCAAAACGCATATACACTGGATAGGAAAAATCTGACTTTTTTGGTAGTTGATAATCCATCCAAACTCTTCCAATGTCCTTATTGTCTCATCTCTTTGAACTATAAGGTTGTCTCTTGATTCTCCTACTAGAAGAATGTTGTCCAGATAATATTAAATATTGAGACCTTGCAGTCTCATCTGCACTATCAGAGCTAAAAAAAACCATTTGAAAAAGTCCTTGGCGCCATACCTAGTCTGAAGGGAATAGCTCTGAACTGAAAATGGTCTCCTAGAATGACAAACCTCAGGAATCTTTGATGATGTTTTGCTATCGGGATGTGGAAATAGGTGTCTTTGAAATCTATTGAGATCATCCAGTCTTCTGGACAAATAACTGAGATTATAGAAGTCAAAGACTCCATCCTAAATCTCTGGACATTGAGAGATAGATTCAGGTTGTGTAAATCCAGGATCGAACGCCAATCTCCCAAGGACTTTGGTACCAGGAAGAGATTTAAATAGATGCCTTGAAATCTTTCTGGCCGAGGAACCCTTAAGATCACTCCTTTTTGAAGAAGATTGGATATGTCTCTTATAAGGGCTTGCCTTTTCACTGGAATACCTGGAAAAAAATTGTAACAGGAAAGTTCTCGGAATTCCAGCCTGTACCCGTCTTTGCGAATAGAAACTACCCAGGGATCCAGACATGCTTGTGCCCAGGTCTCCCAAAAGAGATGGAGGTGGGCTTCTACACCTGAGACCTGGGGGCCCAAACCTTTGGAAGGGCCTATTTGATGCCCTAGAACCAACTGATGGTTTACTTCTGTTACCTCTTCCAGACTGGCCTCCTCTCCAAGCTGATTCTCTAGCAAATTCTCTTCCTTGTTTATATGACCTTGAATCTCAAAAGGAAGGTCTGTCATGAAAGGATCTTATGTCTTGTCAATTCTGGGAGACCTTCTTACCCCTTTGATACTGAGGAAGAAACGCCTTCTTGCCTTCTGCAGCACGTTTAATGGCTTCCTCAAATTGTTTGCCAAACAATAAATGTCCCTGAAATGGGATACCATATAAGCTATTCTTAGAGAATAAATCAGCATTCCAGGATTATTCCCAAAGAACTTTATAAAAAACTTTATTTAAAAAAAGGCTCCTATAGCATTTCAGAGTGGGAGAAAATGAGGAGAAAATAAGATAAAAATAAAAGGATATTATAAGAATAGTGTTACAGTATACTATTAAGATACACAACAATGATAAACAACAAACTAAACAGCACATTGGCTATGTTTGTGAATGTGGTAACCGCATCACCCGTAATCTCTTTATAAGGTGCACTCATTCCAAGCTGTGTAAGTGTCAGTTCAAGAAATCAATATGAAAACCACAATTAAAACCCACATTGTGGTTCTACACAGGTATGGGACATTCAAATCTGAGGTGGTTAATGTCGCACAATGGATTATCCGGTAAAACAACTTATGAAAATACGTTAAAAATCATAGATATAAATATAAATAGATATCAAAAGCTAATAAAAAATGATAAAAAATGACACATTTTCAAGTGTGCCTAGAAGACGACCCCCTTGAAGATCTGGACACAGACGTAAGGGCAGCTGTTTTATAAAAGAAACAATAAAAAATAAAATGAATGAGGGTTAAAATAAATAATTATAAAAGTAGTACATTTTAAAAAGAAATCCACTTACCTGCACTAACACTTGTAGATGCCAGAGCACAAGAAGAAATTCCTACTCAAAAACCAGCAACCAGCAAAACGAGAGAGAAAAAAAAGGACCATTTAAATATGGAGCTTGCAACTTACAGGACCTCCCACAGAAAATTCGTGCAACTGCACATGCCCAAACTGCCGAAATGCGCCAAAATGGAAATAGAATAAAAGTATTAATTTTCTTGTTCAAGAAACGAATGGCCCGTTCGTGCCGTGAACGATATTAATTCCCGAACTGTAAAATATAATCAACAATAGGGAAATGAATGTGAATGAAACCATTCAAATCTCCCGAACAAGAACAAAGTACATAAAAGGGAACGCCGACCAAGATGGCGGAATGGCGCAAAAAGAACCGAAAGAAAACTAAGAGAAAGGTGAGTATACCGCATCATGCTAAAGGCAATGCCCTAAAGACATAAACAGAGGTAAAAAAACATAAACAGAGGTAAATTAAAACAAAAATATGTAAAGGTAATATAAAATACCTGAAACCTTGTCCATAGCCAAGAGGACAGGAACAAAGACTGATGATACCAGTTAAGGAGGGTGTATTTGTAAAGTATTTCCTATCCTAAACAGCCAACGTAGGAGCTAACCCTATCGTGATGCTGCCATGGATTAGCCAGGAATAGTATTTTTTTTTTAGCTCTAACATAATTCACAGCACTTTACAAATGTATTTTATCATTTGAACTAAAATATGATTATTACATGTTTTCTCTTATACAGATTATCTATTTCTGGAAGAGACGACCCTCTTTACAAATTATAATGATGGATGGTTATTTTGAAGTCCTTTTGTAAGTTGCAACTTAGTATATATAAAGTATATATCTATTATTTTATAATTTATATATAAAGATTGATTATCTATTTTATAAGAAAGCTTCACGTTCAAAACAGGAAAGCGGATCAATATGTCATTTTAGCAGCTCCGGAAATCTTTAGTAGATCTAGAATTCGCTTTAGTTCCTTAAAGATTCAATGGAACGCAACTATGAATGCATTTCTTAGCATACGTATATACATTTTGTAATGTACAGTACCTTTTAAAATGTCCATTATTGGATATATTTGATATAACTATTTTCTTTAATCTATGTCTACATACCTATTGTAATCTAACCGTTTTCAAATTGTAATTTAACCACTCTATAACACTAGCATCAAATGTATATGATTCACCTTAACCCTTTTATCTACCAAGCGGCTTGCAGAAAATACACCCCTAGAATCTGAGTATTTTGGATGTCCTGGAAAAAAATGTTTACATTTATTTTTCATTTCAGTATGTCTAGATAACACATTATTTAATGGAAACAAAATGAAAATTTTGTCTGGACAGAAAAAACTTTAAAAAAATTAATAATTTAGCGATTAATGAGATTACAGATAGGAAAACAAAGTTGTAAATGAACAACATTTCTCAATATGCAATATAGACTGTGGTGGAACCGCTGCCTGTTCATGGGTTTTTCCCTCTCTTTTACATGTGTTTCCCCTGTATGTTCATTTATTATTATTAGGGAATTCATTCACCTCCCGAATGGGGTCCACCCCAATACCTCAGTTAGAATGTTAGGTTAAAATGTTTACACCTCGCAACATGTGTCAAAATCGCAAACGCAACTCATTCGTCTCCCGAACGAGGACCTACCCGGTGCCCCATTAAAACGTTCACACCAATTAATCAGAACGTTTGCACTCGCAACATAGGTGTGAAACCGCAAGGGAAGTAATTAATAAGTGCTCCCCTGGGTGACCGCCATTTGTATTGACGAACAACAATCTGGGGGAGCATTCATACCCCAAAAGGAGATGCTTCCCTTGTCTGGGTTTTACACTAGGACCTTGCGAACGGAGACTAGTCGATAGAGGGACCAAGACGAGGGTCCTTGAGATTGGTGTGGACACTTTTGGGGCACTGGCTAGTTTGGCGGCTCTCAAGAGCCTGAGGGACAAAGAGGCTAGCTCTTTTCCCGCAGGCGGGCTTTTCTGTGCCTGGGAGACAAAGGAACGGTCCCTTTTTCCCGCGCCTAGACTCCCAGACACAGAGGCTCTTGGGAAGAAGACCCCTGGCGGTTGGTGTGGGGAACCCTTTGGATTGAGTGGCAGGCTTTTGGGACAAAGGGGATGGAGTCCCTTCTCACGCTGAGGCCCCAGGGAGGGGGAGGATTTTGGGACGTGACCCTGTATGATTGTGTGGTAGACCCCTTGCACGGGGTTATGCATAAAAGCCGTGTGTGGTCAATTAGGTTGTGTTGTACCTCCAGGTCTGTATCGTCCAGTTATTGGGGGGGGGCATGAAAATGGGTCTCCTTATTCTCTAACTGGTTCCCGACCGGCTGAAGGAAGGGAATTAGCAGCGGTAACCAGTCGGGTTACCCTGGGTACACTACATAGACTTTTTTCTTCATATAGTCTATAATCTTCCCTATACATTGCCCGGTATGCACCCAGTTCTCACTTGTGTGAAAATATAAATCTATCCCTATGTATTTTGAATATGTTGCCACATTACCATGACATTACCCATACCATATCACCCTCACATTACAGCCATGTTGCCTCGCACAGAAATACATGCTCACACATACTGATACACGCACGCACAGAATGCCTAGTTCTCTGGTCTTAGCCAGAGGGCAGCCTGCACAAAGAGCAGTGAAGCACCGTGTAGAAATCTCTAGATCTCCCGACTGGCCCTTGTTGTGCAGGGAGCTGAGGCCGAGCACAGCAGAACCAGCACTTAAAAGGTAACACCAACTCTGCTATCAGCACAATCATTGCTAGATAAATTAGTTTGCAATGAACTAATATCATTTGCATGGATATTTATCATGTAAACATGATGTGAAGTGGTTAAACATAATAATGCCACTCAGCATCATTTGTTTGGGGCTCACCCAGTGTTTATTGTATAGCATAAGTCACTGACGAAAACCATTATTACTGTGGATGTTATGGGCTACTTTTTCCATATGGCTGACTGAGTTTCACTAGAGGTGTGTTCCATAAAATAATTTAAAAGGGGTTAACTGCCAAGTGCATTGGTGATCTTGTTATTTAGTACCGGACTTTTAACTTTGCCCTTTTTTTCCAGCTTGCTCCAAGCAATTATATTGCTTTGCAGTGGTATCGTTTATCTCGCAGGAAATGAAGCTTATGTTACTTTCTTGGTCTTGGCAATGGTGATAGGATGGGTGAATATGTTATATTACACTCGTGGCTTTCAGCAGACTGGAATCTACAGTGTCATGATACAGAAGGTATGACATCATATTGATGGTAGATTTAAGTGCTCCATCTTCAACCATGTCTGCTTAGTATTAACAGGCAAAGCATAATCTTATTTATTATTATTATTATTATTATTATTATTATAGACTTTCCTTTTGCATTTTTCAAGTTGTTGGACAGCAATTTTTATAATTCTTGTATTTTAATAGATACTTTTGTCTTTTGAACAATGTTATTGCACTCTATTGCTCTCTCTGCAGGACAGCCAGAACAGTAACAAACATACAGGAGTTTAGTCAGGCTGGATTAATATGACTTTATATCACTATTCCATCCCACTCTTTGTCAATGGCTGCCTGGCTTGGCCAGCAGTGTCTGTGCTGCTTAGTTGTCCTCCTCGCACAGAAACACATGCTCACACATACTGATACACGCACGCACAGAATGCCTAGTTCTCTGGTCTTAGCCAGAGGGCAGCCTGCACAAAGAACAGACAGCCTGCCTTTAAGTTTCGCCCGCCCACTGGCAACAGACCATTTCCACTGCCAATCATCCCACCCACCAGCCATTTGGGTCAACTACAGAAGGTCTGGCTGAGATCATTAAGCACACTTTCCACCATTCTGCCAGTGCAGCTCCACCAACCTGGTGCCAGCCACTGTGATCAGTGTGTAATATTGCTGATTGTTATAAGGAGTTGGGAAGATTGTATTTAATGTACTGCATTTATGTGATTCATGATTGTTATCTGCACTTTCTTTCTTTTCAGACCATACTGAGAGACATGCTTCGCTTCTTGTTTGTGTACCTTGTCTTCCTCTTTGGATTTGCAGCAGGTACTTTTCTAAATTAAGGTTAAGGTCACTAACACTTACACACAGGGAAGTATGTGGTTAGTAATACATAGACTTATACATTTAAAAGATTTAAGCCAAAATCGTAATGAAATTGTGGTTTAACTATATATATTTGTTATAAACAAAATAATAGTCACATTTGCAATCCGTTAGACATATGCAATTTGTTTCGGTCCGAATTAAAATTTGGCCGAATTTCGGGTAATTCGGACATTCGGGTGCTTCCGAATGTCCGAATAGCTGAATTGACGAAGTGCCGAATTGCTGAAGTCCCGAAGTGACAAAATTACCGAATTTCTGAAGTGTAGTAGTGCCGAATTGCTGAAGTGCCGAAGTTGCAGAAGTTCCGAGGTGTCAAAGTGCCGAAGTTCTGAGGTTCCGAAGCACAGTATTGCCTAAGTACTAATATACTTACCCAGTGAAAGAAGAAGAATGTTACATTGTATACATTTTCAAATAAATAGTATACAAACATAGCCAGGATTCAGCTGTAAGCATTTGCAACACTTACAACAATCAAGTAACTTACATTTATATAAAATGTAAGTTACCTAGCCTGTCATGTAATGACAGGAATGAATAAGTAGATAACTCCCTAATTCCTGATATTAGGGAGCTATCTACCAAAAGGCTGAAAGACCCGAATTGGTCTTTCAGCCAAATTTACTAATACTAAGTAAAGATTTGCTGTGTAATTTGACTCATAACTCTCTGATTGGTTACTTAATTCACCAATCAGAGAGTTACGAGTCAAATTACACAGCGTGGGAAAATTCCAAAGAACTTTCCCATGCTGTGTAAAATGACACAGAGCACTCTGATTGGTGGATTTCAAACCAACCAATCAGAGTGTTGTGACAGGTAAGTGTAGAGACTTACCTGTCAGTCTCTTCATTTACCTGTCAGAACACTCTGATTGGATGGCCTAAACCCACCAATCAGAGTGGTCTGAGCCTAATTGCAGGGTGGGGAAAGGCTTTATAAGCCTTCCCCCGCCTTGCAGAGCTCAGTCTGCGCGGAGCCCTCCATGGGTGAAGATGGATTATTTTTTTTTGCGCTCTGTTTTTTTTTTTTTTTTAATTGCGTTGGTTATTATCGATTTTTATTTTGCCTTTTTTGGGGCTGAAAAAAGAAGATATTAGAAGAAACAAGACATCAAATGGTAAGTTTATTTTTATTTTTACAGGTACTTAGTTAAAGGTCCCCCCTTATTATTTTTAGGGTGAGGATGGTAGGTAGGGGTTTATTTTTTGGGGGAGGAGGTGACTAGGGGTTTGGGGACCCTAGTCACCTGGGGGAAGGGGGATAAATTTGTATTTAGGGCCCCCACCCACCGCTCAGGGGTGGGGGCCAGGGGGGAGGACATTAGGTCCCCCCCTTATTCTTGTTTAGGGCCCCCACCCACTGCTCAGGGTTTGGGGCCAGGGGGGAGGACATTAGGTCCCCCCCTTATTCTTGCTTAGGGCCCCCACCCACCGCTCAGGGGTGGGGGCCAGGGGGGAGGACATTAGGTCCCCCCAATTTGTATTTAGGGCCTCCACCCACCGCTCACGGTTGGGGGCCAGGGGGGAGGACAATAGGCCCCCCCTTATTCTTGTTTAGGGCCCCCATCCACTGCTCAAGGGTGGGGGCCAGGTGAGAGGACAATAGGTCCCCCCTTATTCTTGTTTAGGGCCCCCTCCCACCGCTCAGGGGTGGGGGCCAGGAGGGAGGACATTAGGTCCCCCCTCTTTTTCTTTTTTAGGAACCACACCCACCGCTCAGAGGTGGGGGCTAGGGGAGGACAATAAGTCTCCCCCCAATTTGTATTTAGGGCCCCCACCCGCCGCTCAGGGGTGGGGGCCTGGGGGGAGGACATTAGGTCCCCCTCCCTTATTATTGTTTAGGGCCCCCACCCACCGTTCAGGGGTGGGGGCCGGTGGGGAGGACAATAGGTCCTCCCCCCTTTTTTTACTTTAGAGCCCTGACCCGCCGCTCAGGGGTGGGGGCCGAGGGGGAATAGGTCACCCTTTAGTTTAAAAGCCCCCACTCGCACGTCGCGTGTGGGGGCTCAGGAGGGGGGGACCTTTTTTTTGTTTTTTTTTAACAGGGAGCAACCACAGGCAGCTCACTGTTTAATAGACATGCCCCATAATTTTTACTTAGTATTAGTAAATGTGGCTAAAGGACGAATTTAGGTCTTTCAGCCTTTTGGTAGATAGCTCCCTAATACCGTGGGAATTAGGGAGTTATCTACCAAGCGGCTGCAAGAAAAGTCCCAAAATGCCGGAGTTCTGAAGTTCCAAAGTGCTGAAGTTGCCGAAGTTCCGAAGTGGCGAAGTTCCGAAGTGCTGAAGTGTTCAAGTGCCGAAGTGCCGAAGTTCCAAAGTGTCGAAGAGCCGAATTGCCGAAGTCCCGAATTGACGAAGTCACAAATTTCGGAATGCCGAACCGAGCCGAATATTTTCCCCATGCACATGCCTACAATCCGTTTCTCTTAATTAAATTAATGTGTTACATCTAAGCAGGTTTGTCCACTAAAGTCCAAATTACCCCAGGCCAAATAGTAAAACTATATTGTTGTAATTCAGACTGCAAACTCCAGACATTGTTGATTGTATTTAACAATATTCAGATTTTGGAATTCTGGCTCTGAATGAGTCAGAATTGTGTCTAGAAATCACCTGGACCACACGTTGCCAGACGACCGAATCCGTGCTTGTTTTTAGTAAATGTATGCATTGCCAATCCAGTTGGAATTCAATCATTTTCACTGTACTTTGTCCATCTGACCATCTATAACCCTGTTACAGTTTAGGACTCTGTGATTTAAATCAGCATTTTGGAAAACTTTGATATATGTAATCTGTGGCTCCAGCAGTTGCTGGGTACAGCTCATAGCACATTCAACCAGTCTTTTTTATGTTACTGATTTGCCCAGCACAGCACTAGCTGTTGGACAACACTATTGGGTTAGGTACATATAATCATCTACACAAGCAATCTCTCCCTGCTGCTTGTGTGATTTATTGTTCCTAAAAGTGTTACTCAGCCTAATATGTCCCCCAAGTGGCTTTATGGTTGAAAAAACACCGGAAGCATTAATTTTATTATCCCTGGTTGCACTCACTTCAGTTTTATGAAATGACATATACATCATAATAAACAAATACAATGCATAGATTTTTGTGAGACTGCAACAAGACAGATGTGTTTTGTGTTGTTGGCAGGAATAAATAAAAATCTTTATATTCTTTATTTGTGGCAGCAGCATCAATCAACATCCAAACATATATTTGTTGCCATGCAGCAGGTTCACAATGCAATGTCGTTAGCCACAGTGAGATCTTTGGTCAAGTTAGCACATATTCCTGGTTGATTGTGACTTAAATGTTGAAGCTCAAGGAGAGAATTCCAGAATACATGACAACATTTCTTCAAGCTGCTTTCTTACATTTTTTCTTATATTGCTTTTACAAATCATAACATACAAATCGTTACATCCCAAGGTATTACTATTATCACATACTATAAGGAAAATACTAGACTTGGGCATTCAGTTTCGGCCGAATGTGGTTAATAAAAATTATTCTGCATTTTTTGTCCATTCGTTGAATACTGAATAATGAATGGGGAGCCAAATGAACAAACACATTAATGGCTGCTGAACGAAATTCTTCCATGTGATATTTGATGTTTGTTCATTCACAACTCACATTCAGACTTTTGTATTGCACTGTCTGTAATTCAAAAGGCCGAACGTTTAATCTGAATACACAAATGGCTCATTCTTTCGGTGAGCCTACGTTCTTTCTGCTCACTCCCATCATATTTGATAGGAGTGAACCGAACTAACGAATGTGCACTTAATGAATGAGTCATTCGTTCATTTGGGATACTTCTTGAATTACAGACAGCCCACACCCATTGCTGGTGGGTGGGTTCCCTAAGTAATAATGGGGGGAACCTATTATTCCTCCACAACCCCCACCCATTGCCAGCAGGTTGGGACCCTAAGTAATAATGGCGGGAACGTATCACCCCCCCCTCCCAGCCCCTGAGTAATAATGGGGGGCAACCTATTGTTTTCCCCCAACCCCCACCCATTAGCAGTGGGATGGTGTCTTAATTAATAAACCTATTCCCCCATCCTAGCCCCCACCCATTGGGGCGTTAAGTAATAAAAGGGGGAAAGCCTTTTAGTCCCCACCTCTTAGCGGCTGATGGGAGCTAATTGCAAAAAATAACTACCTCCCATACAGTGACAAGGGGTCCCTAAGCCCCTAGTCACTCCCCAGTAAATAAATACCCTACCTATCCTCGTCACCCTAATAATAGTGAGGAGAGGGCAATAAACTAAATACCTCAGTAATAAAACATAAATACTTACCATTAGATTACTTATTTTTTTCTTCAATCTTATTTTTTCTGCCCCAAGAAAGGCCAAATAAAAATACATAAATTCCGTCAAGCTAATAAAAGAGAGGCCCGAATGAAAAAAAAGAGCCCCTACCTTCCAGAAATCGGTCGGGTCGGGTATATTATTGCCTTAACTCATCAAGCATGGGTGGGGGATGGAAGGGGACGGTATGTCCCCCCCCTTTTTAGTTATTTCAATTTTTGCCACATAGTAGGGGCATGGGGGACCTGTGTCATGTCCCTCTTTATTGAATTTGGGTAATAGTATATAGTTTTATCTCCTCTGTTCTATCACACATCTCAGCCTATGTGTAAAGTTTGAAGAGATTAACTTTCTGTACTTTTACCATATTACAGTGCTATGTTTCACGTTATAAAAGGGGGACATTTACTCTGAGACCTAGGTTATCAATGGTAACCTGCTAGCTGCTGTCACAACTAAATAATAAAATATAAACATATTTTTGGTGGATGGCTACCATTCTGTAATTTACCTGATGCGCACCTTGGGACTGGAAACTCGTTTCATGGGGCAAACAATAAAACTGTATAATCATGTAAATATTCACTCTGATGCGCAGTATGCCAAAAACAGCAGACACTGATCCATCGATAGTCATATTCTAAATATTAACAGAAAATCGTTTGTCTTGTTTTCTTGTGCTGGACATTCATTGTATAACATCATTTCTGAAGGCATTTATATAAAAGCTTTAAAAGTAATAAAACACATGTTCTGCCACAGCTTTGGTAACACTCGTCGGAGAAGTTCCACAAGACTCTGGAAATAACACTGAGGCTGCGAAAAGTGAAGGAGTATCCTATGCTGGACTGTATATCACCTCTTTGGAACTCTTCAAGTTTACCATTGGCATGGGAGATCTGGAGTTCAATGAGAACCTTAAATTTAAGCACTTCTTCATGTTCCTGCTCATCCTGTATGTAGTGCTTACCTACATTCTTCTCCTGAACATGCTCATTGCCTTAATGAGCGAAACTGTCAGTAAGATATCTAGCGAGAGCAAAAGCATATGGAAGCTCCAGGTGGGTGGCCTAAAATAGTCCAGAAAACATGAGTATTATACAAAAGATCAGTTTTACCACAGGCAGATTTTATATAAATAACTGCATAATAAATACTGTCATTTTCTTTACATATAATGTCGCAGGTGTGCATGTTAGATAAGCAGCTAGTCTGTAGCGCTCATAGAACAAACCACAGACTGCAGTTACAAATAGACAGGAAACAGAGCTGAGAAGTGAGATTATTGCATACAAAAGCCACAGTGAACAAGAGTTATGACTCTTAAACGGAATAAAGCTTTGTACTAGCGTGTGAATCAGTCGTCTGAACAGCACAAGTTTTAAAACTTTTATAAAATCTAGTCATTGGGGAAATCCTTACTGCCTGTTACTTACTTTTATAATGCAAATTCCTTGTAAATGAAAGGAATTCTAAGAGTGTTATCTACTCAGATCAAAGTGATCAAAGTGAATTTCAAATGAAAAAACAATATTCAGCATACCTAGGAGTACCATGACCTACTCATTACACCTAAAATGTGCGGATGTGTGGAGTATCTCTTTAAGATAATGTCACATTCATGTATTTTATTTAATTGTAGAGGCAAATGTAGATGTGGTTTGTGCAAAGAAATTATATGGGAAGTGCATTGTTCTGTCTGACAAAATTAACATTTTCCTGCCATTTGCATGGTATTGTTTCTTTTTTGAAATACAGAGAAAGATAATTACATGATTTTGCTATTTCATGACGAAAAGTCATGATTTTATGAAAGACACGGAGGCGAGTATTGCTTAACCCTTTCTCTACTCTCCACCAATAGCAGCAAAGAATACAACAGAAAGAAAAAAATGGTAACCATAGTGATAGGCCACACCCATACCTAGTCCAAGTATAATAGTCAGCACATCCCCACACATTTCCTCTTTCTTTGGAGATGCAACACAATAACCACAAAACAGGAACGATGAAACAGTCCAAACCAAATAGAACAGGCAATCCGAAATCCAGCCGGACTACCAGGAACCATAATGAAACTGGGACCCAACAGTGAGGGGCCCATCACAGCACTGTCCATAAACTTCCTGGCCACTTGGTGAAGCCGAGAGAGAAGTGATGAAGACCCTTGATAAACATCGAATCAACCTGTGAAAACACAAAAGTCAGGAGCCGAACGGTTAAATCGGTACTTGAACCAAAGTGTGCATGCCAAGACATAACTTTATAACTAGACAGAAGCAACACAGTGTGCATAATTCAACAAAGGCATATCGGATAATCATGTAACATGAACAGATTAAGAAACGTCTGAAACTATACAAAACCCAGAGAGCAGAATAAATACCTACCAACTCGGGAAAACGTGCAGGAGAGAATAAACAACCGGGTGGGGTAAATCATTGAAATAACATAGAAGGGTGGGACAATACTCACCTCCGTGTCTTTCAAAAAATCATGACTTTTCGTCATGAAATAGAAAAATCATGTAATTTTATGCCAAGACACGGAGGCTCATATTGCAAGTTTAAAGCTGATCAATAACCGGAGAAAAATCGTCAGGCAGAGGTTGAAAGTGGATTCGCGGCCAGCCTCATCAGGTCTTCCAGACGTGCACCTGAATTCACAATGGACGTGGCCGATGCCCCTCGGGCTGAGTGGGCACCAAAGACGGACGTATCCACGTCGGCCAGAGACATCACCCATTTCACCCCAAGCCAATGTAGTACTGGACACAGGGGAAAAAAGCAAGCGAAAGAGCTGGGGAGACGACGTTGCATGATGTGTGCTCGTCCGAAGTTCATATTCCCGTAAGCAGGCCACCGGACATAGGGCCGGAGTACTAGAGAAGCTCGGATAAGAAACCGATCGAATAGCGGTCTTGGTGCGTCTGGAGATGTTAAACGTCACCCCGGCCGGAGTGAAAGACCTAGCATCATAGTCCAGGGCATGAACATCCGATACCCATTTGCATGAAATGAGACAGAACAGGGAGACCAACTTGGCTGACAGCTGTCGCAGGGAGAGCTCCGCATTAGACGGCCAGGAGGAGAACAGCGACAAAATGCAGGAAACATCCCATGTAGTAGAGTAACGAGGTCTAGGGGGGTGTGACAGGCGTGAGCCCCTAAGTAAGCGGCACACTAACGGATGTTGGTCTGCTGGGCAGCCGTCAAATCCTTGGTGAGCCGAGGAGATGGCCGATCTGTACGAATTAATCGTGCAATATGCCTGACCCACTTCAAATAACGAAGTCAGGAATAGGAGGATCACAGTCACAGGTGCTATAACGGGTCCAAGTTCCGAGCCAGGCACCAGCTAGTCCAAGATCTCCAAGCGGTCCCATATGCTCGTCTAGTCCCGGGAGCCCATGCCTCAGCCAGGAGGCGTCACGTTGCGTCCGAAACCCCTTGGATTTCCCAGGGACACCCAAAATCCTCCATGCGAGCAGCAGTAACGACCCGTCCGCTAGGAGAGGATGCTGGAGACCCGATGGGTCCAGGAGGAGGTTCGGTAGAGACGGCAGCAGTCTGGGCACGTCTATTGCCAGTTCCAGGAGTTGTGGGAACCAGGATTGGGTCCCCCAGAATCGGGTTAGTAGGATCAGGTCGGCCATTTGGCGCCGAATTTAGAGCAGGACCCGAGGGATCGAGGCGAACGGGGGAAGGCGTAGAGGAGTGAGCCAGTCCAGTCTTGTAGGAAGGCTTCCACTGCCTCCGCGGTTGGATCCGGGCGCCAGCTGTAGAACCGGGGCAATTGGGTATTGAGCCTGGACGCAAAGAGGTCGATAGCAAAAGGACCCAATGTAAACCATATAGTGGAGAATACTCCCACATCCAATTTCCAATCGCTGTTGTCTGACAGAGAGCGTGAACTCCAGTCCGCGTGAGTGTTGTGGAGCCCAGGAAGGTATTCTGCCTGGACCACCAGGTTTCTGTCCAAGCAATAGGTCCAGAAGTCCTTCGCCAAGCGGGCCAGGATTGCAGATTGAGTGCCACCCATATGGTTGACATAGCGGACCGCTGAGATGTTGTCCATGCGCAGGCGGATGCATGAGCTGGCAGTCCCGTTCACAAAACTCCGGATCGCGAATGAACCCTCCAGGAGTTCCAGAGCATTGATGTGGAGGTGGGATTTGTCTGTCGACCAGCGACCCTCAGTATTCACCCCATTGCAATGGGCACCCCAGCCGTGGAGACTGGCATCTGAGTCCACCGTGAACTCTGGTTGGGAGCCGAAGATGGCCTTGCCATTCCAAGCCAAGAGGTTGGGGATCTGCCAGGTCAATTTGTCCCAAGTCTCCGAGTCCAGGGAGATCATATCCGCATAGGACGCCCCACAGCGGAGGTGTGCGATCTTCAGGTGCTGGAGGGCACGGTAGTGGACTGGGGCTGGGAACACCACTTGGATTGATGCTGCCAGAAGGCCAATGATCCGTGCCAGGTGGCGTAGAGATAGCTGGGTGCGCGTTAGAGCGCGGCGCAGTTCCTTGCGGATTGTCCGTATCTTGGACGTAGGGAGGCTCAGTGACTCCGCTTCGGAATCTCCCATGAAGTCTAGGAACTCCATGCATTGCGAAGGAGATAGGCAGGATTTTTCCCAGTTGAGGAGAAAACCCAGGTGGGAGAGGAGGTCCATTGTCCATTGAAAATGTTTCCGAAGGACTGAACGATCCTGTGCCATGATGAGGATGTCGTCCAAGTAGACGATTAGCCGGACTCCCTGACTGCGCAGCCAAGCCATGGTGGGGCGCATCAGTTTCGTGAAGCACCAAGGGGCTGACGACAGTCCAAAGGGGAGGCACGTGAAGTGCCAGGTGTCTCCTTTCCAAAGGAAACGTAACAGGTCCCTGGATAACTCGGCCACTGGGACCGTCAGGTAGGCATCCTTCAAATCCAAGTTTGCCATCCAGTCTCCCCGAAGGAGTAAGTCTCTCCATGCCCTCCATTTTGAAGTTTACGATACAGCACCAGGGTGTTTAGGGCACGGAGGTTGATAACTGGGCGATAACTAGGGGATAACTAGCAAAATATTGCTGATCACCCCTGTGGAGGACACCGGAGCTAGTTCTATCACCCCTTTTGCGTGGAGGGCCGTTAGTTACGCGTCTATCAAGGCGTGGTCGGTTGTTGAAAGCAAAATAGGGTGAGGTGGGGGAACGTGACACGGAGTGTCGACCAGTTCGATGTGAAACCCCTGAACTGTGGTCAGAACCCAGACATCTGAGGTGATGGCTGACCAGGTGTGGAAAAAATGACGGAGTCTGCCCCTTACACACATATTGGAAGAAACATGAGGTAGATTTAAGCTTACCGTAAGGGCGTCTGGAACGGGGGTTCCCTCTAAAGCCTCTGGAACGCCATGGTCTTCCACTAGAGGGGAAGAAGGGAGCATGTTGTCTCATCTCCTGGTAGGGTGCTCTCTGAGTGTAGGAGCCTCGTCCCGATCCACGGGCATGGTAATTGGAATGGCCGGACAGACGACCCCTGAATCTGCCGGCCCTGGTAGAGACCCGCCACTGAAACACCCTCTTCATGGATGATTGGGCCTTATCTAGGGCTGCAAATGCACCCACAAAGCGTCCCAGGTGCTTAATAAAGGAGTCCCCAAATAAAAGGCGTCCTTGCCTGCCTCTGTGAGGGCGAGGTTGGCCAGTTTACGCCTTTCAATGGACAGGGAAGTGTTTACGCTGCCTGCAATGCAGATAGCCCTCTGCACCCAGCCACGGAGTTCCTCCGGGTCAACTTGCCGGTTCTCGGCTCTGGCGATTTCAGCCAGGTCAAACAGTTTGGCCAAAGGGCCAAATATGTTGAGATGTTTATCTTGCCACGATTTAAGTGCCGAATCTAGACCCTTGTGGGGATTCCAACCCATTTTGGAGAGGAATTGGGTCATCTTTGGGTCCACTACAGGGGTCTCACAGACTTTGTCAGGTACCAATGGTCTTGGGCATTCAACCCTAAGTTTATTACATGCTGCCTTACTGAGGGGGTGTTGTACCCAGTTTTCAAGGTACTGTGCCACATGGTCCGCCGGGAGCCATTCCGCCGACCTCGGATGATGGAGAGCATCCGGGTCAAACATGGGTTCCCCAGACGGATCCATGAGGGTGGAGCCCACAGTAGCGGGGGAGTCGCTCCTAGGGCCACTCGCAACCACCACAGAGTTAGCAGGGCCAAAAGGGTCGGGTTTCTGCCCACAAAATTCATCATCAGAGTCATCCACAGACTCAGCGTCAGCCTCCTCACTAGACGCGATTTCTGAGTCGGAGTCACTCTCTTTTTGTGCTCTAGCACATTTCCACTGCCGTGCCCGTTAGGCCTGGCATGGAAAGGCTCTCTTGCGTTACATAGGCACGCTGTCATGGGTGGCTATAGTCACACCAGTCGTGTTGGTTCTGGAGGCAGGGAGATTTGAGTGCCTGGATTTGGCAGTAGCCTTTTTTGGTGCCTCCCCTAAAGGGTCAGTAGCCGGGTGCGCTAAGCGTGTCGGCGTGGCTGAACCTTCTGCGGCCAAAGGGCATGCCAGTAAGGCCTGTGAGATGGTCTGGGAGAGGACAGAGAACATGGAGCCCATAGCAGCCATAATGGCGTAAGAGACTGAGCGCTGTAGCGCCAGGGACTGGGTCTCATGAGACAGGGGCATAGGGTCCCCAACAGAAGAAGGGGATGCAGAATTGGAAGATGGGTTATCCAAAACCTGGGGCATGTCCATCTCCCTAGGGGATGAGGGGCTGGCAGGCACTTTAGATCTGGGCATGGTAGTGCTGTGAGATATTCCCCAACAAAAGAATATCAACTATATAAACAGAATAATTGTATGAGATAAAGCTAAAATCAGAGTAGAGGAGACTAGCAGGAGTTAATCACCCCAAACTAGTATAACCTAGGAGGGTATAGTTAGGGAGAAACAGGAAGTCAGGAAATGGCCGCTGGCAATCTTGCGAGACTCACGGTCAAAAATACAGTCAATTTGTCAAGTTAAAGAGCCGAACGTTCGGCAAAAAGAGACAAATTCAATGGGATAAACAGATGAAAGTAATGAATAGGAAATAGGCGAATGCACTGACTGTTCGAATAAAAAAATAGCCGAACGCGGCTAAACAAACGAAGGAAGCTAAGTGATAGAAAAAACGAACGGCATGTGTTTGTGAAGAATTTGCCACGAAGACAGCCGAACAGAACGGAAAACAGGCGCAAAAGGGTGCCAAATAAACAGAGAGAGGAAAATGGAGCCAAAGGGTAGTGAGGAAGATATAAGGAGATAAGTCAGTAATCAGAAAAAGCAAGTGAGCATGGATAACACACAGAATAAAAACCATAAGGAAGGTCTGGAACCCTGGGCTCAAAGGTAACCAACATAATATATAGTATTAAACAAGCATGTAATAACACACAGAAAAAACAACTGGATAAATTAAAGTAAAAGGGAATTATCAACAAAAGGAGCAATAGAAACTCAAATAACAATAAATAAATGTTATAAATAACCAGAAATCAATAAGAGAATAGTAGGATGTATGAGAGAAAATGTCATGTACTTATCTTTGGTCGGAGCAGCAAAGAAAGCGGCAATGTGTGGGGATGTGCTGACTATTATACTGGGACTTGGTATGGGTGTGACCTATCATTATGGTTACCATTTTTATCTTACTGTTTTATTCTTTGCTGCTATTGGTGGACAGTAAAGAAGGGGTTAAGCAATACGAACCTCAGTGTCTTGACATACAATTTTGGATTCTGTAGAAATGATGCTGTGTTTTGTAACCATCTTGTGGTTGTCTAGCATTTGGCGCTGCTTTTAACATGATGAATGAACATATCAAAACCAAAGAATTCCAAATACAGCATTTAAACACTAGCAAAGTAGAAAATTAAAACAATGCAAAATACATTGAGCGAGTTAATCAGTTTGTAATACTGAATTACATGGCAAATATTTAAGAAGGGAATGTGTTAAAGATACATAGAATTTTCAGTTGATTCCTACCATTAACTGGCTATGGTAGAAATATAATGTATGTATGGTGTAATTTTTTCTTATTCATTTTATTTTACGTAAAATGTGAACAGCGAGTATCTCACTTTTAGAAATTGGCCTTTCATGTAGTACAGGAATGGCCAAAAGGTGGCTCCCTAGCTATTGGAGAACTACAGCTCACCTTAAGACCATTTGGGTAGTTGAGGTTCTATACATGTTGGGATTTGGTCATCCCTGGTATACAATACAAATGCAGTAGGAAGTTTGCTTATATTATGTTACTCTTATTTTGCAGAGAGCTGCAACCATCTTAGACATTGAGAGGTTCTTACCTCGGTTCCTTAGGAAGAAATGGAAGTCTGGACACTGGCTTACTGTGGGCAAAACCCCAGAAGGAAAGCTTGATGAGAGATGGTGCTTTAGGTAAGAGAAATATATTAACACAAGAATTATACACCCAGATGCCACTATATTAGAGAGCAGAGATGTACTGGATACCGCACTCACCAAATAACCCAACTGCTCTGAAGCCAGGGCGTGCCAGGCCTCCCTTCCTAGACATGCAGAATAAATAATGGTTCAGGCACTCTGGGATAACAGAGATAGCAGCTTTATTAGGGCAAAAGCAGCAACATTTTGACACTACCAGGTCTTTATCAAGCATGATAAAGACCAGGTAGGGTTGAAACATTGCTGCTTTTGCCCCAGTAAAGCAGCTATTTCTGTTACCCCAGAGTGCCTGAACCATTATTTATTCTACTATATTAGAGAAAACTTTAAACCCGCAAAAATATGACCTTACATTTTTTTTTTTATAATTTATTACATGTTTTATTAGTTCTAACTCCATATAGGATAACTTTGGGTTCTGAGAAAGTCCATGTTGGTGTATGTGAAATTAGACATTAATTGATTATATTAAAAATCTAAATATGTGTTTTTGGTCTCGTCTTTCTGTGCTGAAATTGTCTTACTTTTATCTACCTTATTCATATTTGTAATTTATCCATATAGCACTAATAGGTGTACTTAGTGCTTTAATATTACCACTATAATAGGAGTGAAGTAAGTCAAATAGTTATGCAAACTTTTAAATATACTAATAAAATATTTAGTTATATTTTCTTAGCATTTAACATAATGTTGACTAGTTTTCATGAAGCATATGACCTTCTTCTATGCAGTGATAAAGATTATTAATTTTTGAAACTGTATCCCTATTAGTACTATTTATGTTGTACAGGGTACTTTTTTTTTAAACAACTATTTATAAAGTTGTTTTTATTGCTATGGAGCTCTGTTATAAACTCAGTCACACCAACAGTATGGAGCTCTTAGAAAAGAGGGTCTTTAGGATAGAAAATATGGACAGAGGGAATTTGGCCCAACAAAGGGACTGTCCCTCCTAAAAATGTACACGTGGGACACTTGGTAGGTTTGTGAAGGTGCCACTTTTTATTGAAATCTGCACTTTATGTAAAATGAAAAAAAGAGGACACACCACACAGAAATTACTTCGGTGAGCTGAAGGGCTTTAGGCATCTGGAGTGTCCCTTTGACTAAAAAAGCAACTTGAGGCAAATTTAAAACTGACTTGAAAAAACTTGACTAAAAAAGCCAAGCTTGTAAAATGAGCTGTTATGGTGAACTTCTTCATTTCCAGCTACCATATGGCCTACTTTTTTGCAATTCAGTTTTCAATTCACCACAAGTCAGTGAACACATCCTTCAATATTTTCGCACGTGATAGAATTAGCTGTTTGCGAAGTAACATTCTGTGTTTTGTAGCACTCTTTATTTTATTTGACTCCATGTGAGTCAAATAGCCTTTTGTATCAAGTAAACATGAATTTTAAACATGCTAAATGGATGTCTCGTTTTGTTCCCCTTTAGAGTAGAAGAAATGCTTTGGGGTGCGTGGGAAAAGAACCCATCCAATCTTAATGAGGAGCCTGGTGACACGGAAAAAGCAAAAATGGCCTCAGTTTACAAACGTCCTAAAGGTACATTCAGCCTAAAATGAATGGTCTTAAAAAAAATGTTGATTTCCACCGAATGGGTATAAGCTAGCCACTATCGAGGTAGCATCTGACACTACAGAGAAAGTAAAAAGATGCTGTTGTGCAGGAGAGTGCGCGATATATTACATTTCTATAATTTAGCAAAGATTGGACAAGATACTTTTTAAAGATGTAAAGAGGAGGGTCAATAACTTATATGAAGTCTGAAAATAGTCTTCTGTACTATGGTAAAAAAAAATAATTAAAGGCTTTAAAGGAAGTTCGAATGCATGACAAAAAGTGAGGGGGTCTGGAAAATTCAAGAAAATGTTTTATATGGTAATTTATTTCAAAAAGACTGGCTATGATTGATTAAAAATTTGTCTGTTGATGAGAATGTGTCTTTAGAAATGAAATAAAAAAAAAAAAACTCCTACAGTGGAACCAGCCTGGATGTATTAAGCATCAAACTTAAATCCAACTAAAGAGTAGAGAGAAGAGAAAACTGTTTGTAAATAGCTGTGTCAATGGAGTAGGGTGTAGAGAGAAGGACTCCCGAGATCTACTTTTCAAAGATATGCAGAGTGTTAGCAACAAGGTCATAGTGAGTGTAGGTTTATAGATTATCTGATGGGAAGCCAGAAAAATGGAGACTAGGAAGTGACGTAACTATCATCCAAGTAGAGGAATGGTTTGACTTATCTGGTCTGTGAAATATAATATATATGTATATGTTGTCATGGCAATACATATAAATAAATATGGCTGCATTTTCCCTGGATTGTGGATTTAAAACTTCTTTATCAGATCAGTCTGCAAAGCTGTATTTTTTTCGCAGCAGTGGTGAAAGTGGTCTATATGTGCTCAATCTTTGTTGGAATGCAGAATCAGTTTCACCTTTGTAAAGAAAAATATTAATCAGGAAACTTGGAATGTGTCCACAAGTCTCCACTGTTGCTCCCCTTTTCACTGCACTGTTCCTTTTTCTTTACAGGGTGGAGTCATTTGGTTACCAAAGTGCAAGAAAAAGTAAGAGAAGAGGAACAAATACCCTTAAATTCGGGGTCCACCAGCCCTGCGACTGATGTCGAGAAGGGATATGAACAGTCGTCATGAGCTCACAGTTTAGTTTTGAATTGTCTCAATTGCCAAAACACTGCAATTTCAGCTTTCCAAAATCAATTGATGGTTTCTTATTCTGACCCAACCATAGCTATGTTTACATGTAATGAGGAAATATTACCTTATTGTAATGCGAGGTATATGTTAACTAGTTCATTTTTCCAGGTTTATATGATTACACTACAACGGTGATGCAAAATAAATTAAAATGCACTAAAGAATTATAACATACAAATCTTATAAAATTCATTGATGTGCTCTAAGTAAAATAAAACCCCAAAAACCCCTCACTGATGGTTGTGAGAATTGACAAATTGAATTCTCCTGAGAAAAAAAACCATAAACACAGACATTCAGGCATCCAAATTTGCATATTTTTTTATGTTTCTTCAAACATTGGTAGTTTTTTTTTTTAATCTAAAAGGTTGCCAAAGTGTTATAGTTGAATAAAAACAATAGAAATAAAGCTTTATTTTGTAAGTCTGTCTCAGCCCAAGATAAAATAATTACACATAATCTCTTATTTTGTTTAAAAATCAAGTCATTAGGAAAATTAGTTTGCTTTGCATGAACATTTTAGGGCACTGGAGGCTAAAATGCTGGTGTAGCTTTAAACTATGAACTTTGCTTAGACAGTCTATATACTTGCAGAGTCTCTGAGAAAATATTTGCAGTTGCAAGATAAGCCATCACACATCTATGGTGAGCTGGTGTGAATTAATATTGGTGACTGTAAAACGCGTATTTACGTTGTTTTCGTTTTTGTAATTAGTATGTCTTCTTAAAGAAATGCTGTCATCATTTTTTTTTTTTTTAAATATCTTAATGTAAGCTTTATTTTATAATATGCTATCTCTTATTATTTCTTTTTAATTCATGCTTACTGAAATTTGTGAAGAAATTATTTGCTTACCTTGCCCATTCCCCCTTTCTGGAAGCCATCATTATTCACCTTTGGTCACAATGTCACTTATCTTACCTAATGCTTATTATTTTGCAATTGTCCATTGCTTCCCAGCTGACAAAAAAAGGCTATTGGAAATGATGAAAAGTGGCAAGGGATTTCTTGAAACATTTCAATATAAATGAATAATAAAAAATAAAAAAAAACAAGAACTTAAGTATATTATAATGTAAGAATGATATTAAGATGTTAAAAATGTGTTCCTTTAATGCAAGCTCTCTCAGCATCAACTCAAATATATACACCTGCCCTGCTGGTTACTGTTTTACTAACCACATTGCTGTGAGTGTGACTTTCAGTAGCTTTAGGATGGCACTGTCAAACAAAATATATGCCTAATAAAAGGCATTCTAAACAGTCATAATCACAGGTGGTAAGATCCACTGGGACACATTCTGCTAAATATGATTATGCATGTTTTACCAGGAAACTGAAGGTATTAGATTTTAGAATGTATATGTAAATAGATTATATTGCACTCTTTATTTTTCAAGAATGTATACTGACAGATCAGGACTATTTTTTCAGATTACTAGTGGGTCCGCATGTGGATGAAATTTATTGTCTGAGACTGCCAGCTGACTTTCTCAGCCAATGAACTCCATCAGACATAGACAGAATTGATGTAACTTATATAGAAGGGAGGACTGGAGTAGAGGTGCCTTTAGGACCCAGGTAAAGAATGGTTTAACTTTTACCTGGGGGAGGACACCAAGGTGTTTTTCGTTTTTTTTTAAACTGCTGCAGTGTGCTGTAGTCTTTATGATCCCTAGATTTCTGTTGAAATCTGCACTTTTTGTAAAAGGAAAAAAAAGAGTTTACACTCTTAAAACATAAGCTGAGGCGATTCTGATCTTTGAGGTTTATAATGGATTGTATGTGAAGAGTAACAACTGTGATGGTAAAATCATTCTTTAGGAAGTGGACACGGATACAGTCCCACCGTAGTGTCGCCAATTGGGCGTATGCATGATCTGACAAATGAGTGATCAAGGAGTGCGGTTGAGTGCAATTAGCAACTAGTTAAAGGGACACAATAGGATCCAGATTACTTTATCTCACTGAAGTGGTTTTGGTGCAGTGTCCCCGTTCCCTTAACCCTGCCATGTAAAGCATTGCAGTTTTAGACAAACTTTTTACATTGCAGTGTTAAGAAGGCCTTGAGTGGCTGTCTACCAATTGTCTTTTGCCAATAACGACCTCATCTCAAGATAAACAAATGAATGCAATCACAACTACATTTTTTGTAATCATTCTACATATTATATATGCCATGATATATTGCTAATATAGATGTATACAATGCAAATCACAAATGACTATAGTCTAAATTTCATAATCATAAACACCTGACTAAGTCCAACGCTAAGTAAATGTTGCTTGGGGTTTTACATGTATTGTTATCATTAAGCAGCCCATGGGAATAGAGTTGGTCCCATGGGTTAAGAATTCCTTCTTATACACTATTGATATTTTTCATCATCTAGCTATATCAACTGCTAAGTAGGGCTGTGATGCAAACTGTAATGTTTTGCCTCTGCTTTATTCCTGCTGTGCATGATATATTCCACATATTTCATTTATTTAAGCTATGTATTTTCTAAATGTTGTAGAGATAATTGGATTTGCATACTGTACAATGCCTTAACCCATACTTAGTAAATGTAGACAGTAACCTATGCATCTGCCATCTGCTGGGGAAGGAATTAGATATTGCTTTTCATATGTGTCTTTTTACGAGATTTTTTTTATTTCTAGATATATTATATCTATGTTTATTCATCTTTATCATAATAAAAGTTATTTGCGTAAAATGGCTATTTTTTTTTTTATGAATATCATCTGCATAGTAAAAACACAATTGGTAATTATTATAATATGAAAATGTATTAGGAACTGAGTTTGCCAGTGAAATCACATGAAGTTCAAAGTACAAAGCCAGTAAAATACTAATCAACAATGACAGCTGGTGAACGTTAAAGATGGTGGTGAACTAGACTCAAATATTGGAATTTAACTCTGCCCTCTAACTTGGGCTCTGTCCATTTAACCCCATGTACCCCCTATGTACTCATTTGATCAACTGAAACACCATGTCCTTTTCAACACCATAAACCAATAGTCCATAATCACATCTATGTAAAAGGGGGTATCGTATTGTGTTATGACACCCTATTCCAATATTCCATGCAGTCAAAAGCTGTACATATGACCAGATGGGAATAAGATTTGGATAGGACCATTGTTGTCGAGTAGTAAGAGTCCTCCTTTGATAATATGAGGGGCGTCACCCATTGTACTAACCATATTGAGCTCTTGCAAAAAAATATAATTTTACATTACCTGGTCCCCACATGCTTAACCCATGTTTCTCTGTACAGGTGCGACAGGTGTTGGCATAATTGTTGAGCTAGGGCTCCTACATATATATTTTGTTGTTCTGCTCACAGTTAACACCTTTGTGGAATTACCTTTAAAATTAGTTAATCACATCATGTCGAGTGGCATTTCTTGAGATGTAATGTGCTAATTTTTCCACAGACCAACCATTGTAGAAAATACAAATTGTTTGGTCATATTCTATTAGCAGCCAAACAACTGCTTGGACCATTATTGGAATACCTCGATAATTTCTGTATCTATGTAGACAACAACAATTGCTGGGGGAAAAATGTTACACAGTTTGTACAATACCAAATCACATGGGGAAATGGTAGGCTTGGGAATCCTTTTGGATAAAAACTATTTCACGGATTTGTGTAATAAAAAAATTACTCAGAGTAATGTAATAGTTCTGACTTTCTAAATTCCTCACACATTTAACAACAGTCACTGAATCCAATCCTACAGAAATGTACGTATATTTAGAAAGTACCGACACTCCTCACTCACCGACCAGGTTCCGTTCCTACAACCCGATCGGCCTGCACTTACACCTGGTCGTAAAACAGGTAGGTCACTAAATGAGGGCCACCTGTACCTCCACCAGCATTTTGACACTTTCCATGCAACTATTGTAACACTTCCCTCTACCAAAATGTCTAGCTATTTTATGTGCGTGTCTTTTCACACTCATCGGTGCAGCATTGTATTTTTGATGTGATATGAGTTAATGCAGAAATGTGGATTCAGCTACATCCCTTGTGTACAGCAATATGCCAAGTGGCAGTTTTCCTGCTTAATGGGGAAGTAATATGATAAAATAGGGAATACAAAAATAAAAATAGAAAGCACAGTTTTGAATTAATGGGTCCATTCCATGTCACTTTTGAGGTAAAACATGATTCCTCAATGGAAGTTATACCATACATAGCTTAGCCGTGTTTCTGGAAGTTGCTATGACCAGAGTATCGACAGCCTCAGGTTTGGTGGAATAATTTGATAGGTCTCCTTTGGGGAAATTAATTCAAATTATTCCCATGATAAAATACTATTGGTAAAAGCAGGCTGTTTCACCTGGAATAATCAGAGTGTTTGCAGCTTTTGGTGTAAGAATATATTTTTAAAAATTCGTAGACGTTTAATTTCCACTGTGAAGTTCATTAAAGGGAGACTAAAGTCACCAGAAATAATGCAGCCTATTGTCAGTCCCTTCAGGCTTTTTGCAGTAAATATTGTCTTTTCAGAGGAAAGGTAGTGTTTACATTACAGCCTAGGGACACCTCAGATGGCTACTAGAGGTGCTTCCTCAGGCTGTGCTGCACAGTGTACAGCACTGACATTCAGTGTCTTCACCCTCTGCATGATTCATTGCATCTCTATGAGGAGATACTAACTGGCTAGAGCAGCATTTGGCTCCGCTCCTAGCCAGTCTCCTTGGCTGAGATAATCAGAATTGACAATCTCAGCCAATCCAATGCTTTCTAATGGGAAAGCATTGTAATTGGCTGAGATCATCACTTCTGATGATGTCAGCCAAGGAGGCAGATCAGGGGCAGAGCCAGCACTAGCAGACTTGAATAAAGATAAGATTTTATTATATTTAGGAGGGGAAGGGGTGGGGGTCAGGAATACATGTTTGTGTTCCTGACCCTATATTGTTCCTTTAAGGCTGTCATATACAATTACTTTAACCTACATCCCCAAATTAAATTCAGCTACATCCTCTGAGTACATGAATATCCCTATGTAGCCATAGCAAGTTTTTTTTATGCCATTATGGGGTGAAATTAGAGACATACCCTAATCTTGGAATACTTACCAATGATACTGATCTGATGCACTCACACAAATTTTAATTGGTAGGTAGCCTGCTTCATTCATCCTAGTGTGAGACTGGTGATTATAGTAAGTGCAGTGCCCTAGTGCTAGCCACTGCTACTTAAGCACTTTAGTGTTTATTTGTGAAAAGTGTGTCCTCCTTATTTCATTTTATAAAAACAAAAAGTGCAGATTTCAATAGAAGTTGGCAAGTTTCTAAATAAATTTTGTTACACTCCCTAGTTGTCAGTCAGTCACTTGGCTCTGTTACTTCCTGGTTGTTTAGCTCAGTGATGAGCCTTTAGTGAATACTTAGAGCAGAGTGCTAAAGTAGTGTCCCCAATGTCTGGTATAGGCGGTAGGGACGGTGATGAACCTGATGATGAGAATACAGTTTCCCTCACCACTGCAGACATAGCACTTTTACATCTGACCCAGGATCTACTTGACTATAGTGTGATAGTGTGGAGAGGACAGAAAGCAGCCCAGTATTTTCTCCAGCAGTTAGTGTGCACCACCTCCTGCAACTTCACCTCCATCTCCAAGATCATCTGTATCTGCTTTGGAATCCATTCATCTAACTTAGACAGTTGTAACATCAGCTGCACCTGCTACCAGTGGCACAAGTTGCTCACTAACTCTCATTGTTACCATCACCACCATCACCAATCCCACCACCATCAGCATTAACAGTACCACCACCATCAACATCTCCATTATCATTAAAACTTTTTGTAGAAATTTTTTTTTTCTAAAAAGTGTTGGTTGTATTGAATTAAAATGCATTTCATTGTAGTGGTAATGAACTGCTTAGATGAGACTGGATGTGTGGCTACGTCTGCTACCTCTGGAGATGCAGTTGATAGAAGCTGTTCATTTTCAGACTGTGACTTTTATTCTTTTTCTTGTCAGAGACAGATTATTTGATTTGCAGTGTGCTTCCGTGCCACTTCTTGTGCTTTGTAAATTAGAAGCTACGTCCTTCAGTATTATACACAATGTGTGGTAGTTTACTGCAAAAGTGAACCCTGCTGACATTGTAAGTGGTTGCAGTAGTGTTGTAGGCAGAGTACAGCATCATATGGATGATTGGATTTGTGGGAAAGCTTTGTTCATGGCAGGGTGGAACACAGTGGTGTGCTAATCCAGGCAATTTACTTGATGGGCACCCATGGTGATCACAGAGCCTGGGCAGGGCTGGGTTAACATTTTACTACTCTTCACATGCTCTTGCTTAACAATGGAAACTTAAGAGGGATGTAGGGGAACAAAACTAGTGTGGACTGGCTAACAATGAAATTAGTTAAGGTATTGCTGACTTTGTGCACTATGTAAGTGCTCTTGCTGCTTTGGTCTCTCTAACACTGTTCCCTTTCTTCTACACTCACTACATACACCTGTTCCAGACTGTATAACAGGAGCTCTGCCTGCTATTAAGAAGGTTAGGAGAGGAGTGGACCAGTGAGTGCTAGGGGACAGTCCTTAGAAAGCGTAGAGCAAGCACATCATTAGACTCATTTATGCCAAGCTAGGGTGCTGTCTACACAGTATGCCCTTGGTTGGTTATCCTTCATGATTGACAGGCAGCCTGACATGCATTCACACTAGGCTGACCATCTATTTATTTGTGCAGACAGGCCCACTTTTTGCGCATGTTTGTCCCTTTGGGTGGTTCTGGTACATGATTTGCGTCAGTGGCCCACCCTTTTACCCCTCCCACCGAAATCCTGCTTCACCAGACACTGCTGTGAGGGGGTATGGATTTACTGGAAAGATGAAAGCTAGAGATTAGCATTGGGCAGGGGTAGGAAACCGATGGCACGTGTGCCATGCACGGCACTCGAAGTGTGTCTCTGTATGGCACTCAAGGCTGCTAGAGCCAAACTTGCTCTGGCCTATCAGAAGTTCCAGTGAAACTTCAAATATCTGCTAATACGAAAAGGTGGTGAAGGACAATCCTCAATTTATGCATTGCAGCACATAGAGGAATTGATCTCAGATAACTTCCTCATAGCACTTGTTAATGAGAATCCACACTGGAGTAGAGCAGGTTGTTGCTCCTGTCTTTGCCTGGTCGCCACTGGGCCTCAGGGACGGCACCCGCACTGCTAGATATATACAGAAATGCAGAATAACCCTCGCTCATACAAATAATACGAACAGACCACACACACACAGTCCGCACAAACTTAACACCACTAACAATCCACTTACATGCACACAACCCCACATGCAAACTCTCACATGCAATACTCCAAACAGCCTCACACATACACAAACTACCAAACACACAATTTGACATATCCATCCACACACACAATTCCACAAGCAGCCCCCATACACAGCCCACATTCATAGGTATCATACACAATACCACAAACTACTAGTGAATAATATAATAGCTCATATACAAATACGCTCGTATGTAATAGCTCATATACATATACGCACTAATCCAACGATACAAAGCAACTGCAGTATAAATAACACAAGCAGAATATGACTACATGCACGCCTCAATTTAAAAAAAATAGGACTGGCACGCTACGGGACATCACAATCCTATTTCGGCACAGTGCTGTTAAAAGATTGCCTACCCCTGGCATAGGGTATGTA